TCGTAGCTGCTCATGCTCAGTTGTTTGTTTTCGCGGAGCCTCCGAATCAAGCCTTTAGGCTCTGGAACTACAAGAAAACTGAAAAAAGAATTCTGAACATCCGCGCTGAGGTAAGTAAGTAAGTAAGTAAGTAAGTAAGCTTTTATTTATATACCGCCTTTTCACTGCACATCGGAGTCTCAAAGCGGTTTACAATTGTTGGGTGGGGATCGCCAGTACAGGAGGCACATGCCATACCTATTGTACATATTTTTAGTGGTAGGGGAAACCAGAGCACCCGGAGGAAACCTACGCAGACACGGGGAGAACATGCAAACTCCACTCAGAAAGGCCCTGGTCCAACCGGGATTCGAACCCAGGACCTTCTTGCTGAGAGGCGAGAGTGCTATCCACTCAGCCACCGTGCCGCCCATACCCATATATATACTGAACCTATATCCATAATCATATATATACTGAACCTATATTCATAGTCATATATATACTGAACCTATATCCATAATCATATATATACTGAACCTATATTCATAGTCATATATATACTGAACCTATATCCATAATCAGATATATACTGAACCTATATCCATAATCAGGTCCTCTGCAGATGTGTCCTATAATGTTCAATTCATGATAATAGCTTGTCCCGGGTTTGCCGCGACCTCTTCTTTTGTACATAATTTATTTATTTTTTTCATTAAAACGCTAACAAATCATTCTGAAATCCTCCGTGCATGTGTATTAATGATGTATATGTATAATGTGTTCTCTAATTAACATTTATAAGTGTTAAGGAAACGCGAGCGTAGACCAATCAGAAAGGAAGGGGGAGGGAGCTTGCGTCGTTTCTTTCAAATCAAGTACCTCTCTCTCTCTTTTTCTGACAAACTGCGGACGATCACTTTAATACTTTATGTTCCTATAGTACAGACAGACTATATAGGCATTGGGCAAATCTTTTTGCATTTTTAGTTTTAGTTTATATGCAAAAAATGACATAAATAAACATAGAACATTCATAAGTTATAAGCTATTACCACCCTAACATTCTCATTTTACTTATCAACTAATGTTTACATTGCACAATAGTAGAGGGCATCACAGTGAACAAGTGTGCGGTGAAAGCTTTTTCTAAGGTTTTTTACTTTTTTTAAAAATCCAGGTTAAAAAGTGCATTTTGGATCATTATTGCACACTTTGAATGTGACCCCTATTTTCTAGGAATTTCCACAGTAAAAGTGATGTGACTTTGCACAATAATAGAGGGCATCACAGTGAACAAGTGTGCAGTGAAAGCTTTTTCTAAGGTTTTTCATTTTTGCACACTTTGACCCCTATTTTCTTGGAATTTTCCACAGTAAAAGTGAATGGTGACTTTGCACAATAAAAGAGGGCATCACAGTGAACAAGTGTGCAGTGAAAGCTTTTTCTAAGGTTTTTTACTTTTTTTTTAAATCCAGGTTAAAAAGTGCATGTTGGATCATTATTGCACACTTTGACCCCTATTTTCTAGGAATTTCCACAGTAAAAGTGAATGTGACTTTGCACAATAATAGAGGGCATCACAGTGAACAAGTGTGCGGTGAAAGCTTTTTCTAAGGTTTTTTACTTTTTAAAAAAATCCAGGTTAAAAAGTGCATTTTGGATCATTATTGCACACTTTGACCCCTATTTTCTAGGAATTTCCACAGTAAAAAGTGAATGTGACTTTGCACAATAATAGAGGGCATCACAGATGAACAAGTGTGCATGAAAGCTTTTTCTAAGGTTTTTTACTTTTTTTTAAAAATCCAGATTAAAAAGTGCATTTTGGATCATTATTGCACACTTTGACCCCTATTTTCTAGGAATTTCCACAGTAAAAGTGAATGTGACTTTGCACAATACTTAAAGGGCTTAACAGTGAACAAGTGTGCAAGTGAAAGATTTTTCTAAGGTTTTTTACTTTTTTTAACACTAAAGTCACATGATGCTAACACTCAAGTCACATGATGCTAACACTCAAGTCACATGATGCTAACACTCAAGTCACATGATGCTAACACTCAAGTCACATGATGCTAACACTCAAGTCACATGATGCTAACACTCAAGTCACATGATGCTAACACTCAAGTCACATGATGCTAACACTCAAGTCACATGATGCTAACACTCAAGTCACATGATGCTAACACTCAAGTCACATGATGCTAACATGTAAACACTGGTCACATGATGCTAACACTTTGGTCTCTGTGGCAGGGTACGTGGTCCTGGGCGTGTCTCGTCTGCGCTCCAGTGAGGTGCGCCCCCTGGAGGCCTCTGTCTCTAACGACGTCACCGTGCACCGGAACTACGTGTCTGACTCCGCCCACCTGTTCCTGCTCTACTTCCTGCAGCTGGGCGTCATGGCGACATACCTGAGCCAGGACCAGCTCAAACTGGTGCCGCTGCTCACCGTGCTCTTCTGCCTCGGACGGTGAGATATGTCTGAGTCCTCACATGGTCCTCACATGGTCCTCACATGGTCCTCACATGGTCCTCACATGGTTCTTGGTCACGGTCCGTCACATTCACTCCAAAGGCTTGATTCTAATCTGGAGGTGGTTCACACAGTGGAATGATAAACTGCGACTTGTAGCCACAGCTGCCTTGGGGCAATAATACTGATAATAATGCCCACTCAAAGTCTCTTCACAATATTATTCATTCACTCCAAACACACAGTGGTGATAAACTGCGAAGCCACAGCTGCCTTGGGGCACACTGACCCCTCCCACCACCACAACCATTCACAAACACACCAGACTCATTCTAATTTGAGTGAAGTGTCTTGCCTAAGGACACAACCACAGTTTGGCACTTTACAGCCGCGGCCGCCCCACTGTGGCCCCTGGTCTAAGGTCTAGGAGACAGAATACATCTGGACTCAGGCTCAGTGTAAACCTGGTCCCAGAGACGGAAGAAACTGTCCTCATACCAGGTGGAGAGGTGATGTCATGTGAAACGATACCATATTGGCAACCCATCTATGGCCAGAATACAGAATGTCCTGGGGCCCCAAATGGAGGCCACTCTGAGTCGAGGGACGCACAGAAATATTTCAGAACACATCCTATGCATGTAAGGATGACATAATTTATGTGTAGTACAGATACAACACTTGGGTCGATCTATAGCTCTGCCAATACATGTTAAACCTGATTTTAAATCTGCAAAAGTAATCCACTTTTAAAGTCCACACTGGACTGTTTCTGTCAACTTCTGTCTTCGCGTCATGGGTCATAGTAGGCAAGGCAAGTTTATTTATATAGCACAATTCATACACAAGGCAACTCAAAGTACTGAACAAAACAAGATAGCATTATAATAATAATAAATAATCACAGAACATTAAAAAGAAAGATAAAAATATAAAATCCCTCAGTTGTATGCACAGCTAAACAGCACTGTCTTTAACCTGGTTTTAAACATTGTCATTGTTCTGGAGAGTCTATTCTCTGAGCCACAGGAAGCCAGTGCAGAGACCTGAGGACCGGACTAATCAGAATCAGAATCAGAATCATTTTTATTGCCAACGTAAGTAACAGGAGGTCACAGACTTGGAAATTGCTTTGGCTCAGTGCAACAGTCAAAAAGAGATAATAAAAATAAGAATAAAAAACACTTCTAAAGAATAAATTTAAATTTAAAATAGAGTTACAGTTACTATTTACAATATACAAGTGCACATGGTGCACACAATGTAAGGTGACAGCAGTACAGTGAAGTAAAGTGACGTATGATGGGCAGTAAAGTGACTTTATAAAGGGCGGGGGGACAGGTTAAGAAGTGTTCAAGAGTCCAACAGCAGAGGGGAAGAAACTGTTCTTGTGGCGGGAGGTTCTAGTCCTGATGGACCGCAGCCTCCTGCCTGAGGGGAGTGGTTGGAATAGTCCATGTGCAGGGTGAGAGGGGTCGGCTGTGATACGACCAGCCCGGCCTCGAGCTCGGGCGACGTACAGGTCCTGCAGCGATGGAAGGCTGCGGCCGATCACTTCCTCTGCAGAGCGCACAATGCGCTGTAGTCTCTGTTTGTCCCTGACTGTGGCTCCAGCGAACCACACGGTGATGGAGGAGGTGATGGAGGAGGTGACGGAGGAGGTGAGGATGGACTCGATGATGGCCGTGTAGAACTGCACCAACATCTGTGCAGGCAGCTTGGCTTTCCTGAGCTGCCGCAGGAAGTACATCCTCTGCTGGGCCTTCTTGATGAGGGAGCTGATGGTCGGCTCCCACTTGAGGTCCTGGGTGATGGTGGTGCCCAGGAAACGGAAGGACTCCACAGAGGTGATGGGGGAGTCCATCACGGAGGGTGGGGGCGGGGGGACAGTGCTCTTCCTGAAGTCCACAATCATCTCCACTGTCTTCTGGGCGTTCAGCTCCAGGTTGTTACCACTGCACCAGGACACCAGCCGGTCCACCTCCCTCCTGTAGGCGGACTCATCGTTGTTGGAGATGAGTCCAATGAGGGTGGTGTCGTCCGCGAACTTGATCAGCTTCACGGAGTCGTGGCTGGAGGTGCAGTGGTTGGTGTACAGGGAGAAGAGCGGGGTAGAAAGAACACAGCCCTGTGGGGCTCCTGTATTTATAATCTGAGAGTCCGAGACATTCTTCCCCAGACGCACTCGCTGCTTCCTGTCCGTCAGGAAGTCAGTGATCCACCTGCAGGTGGAATCGGGCACGTTGAGCTGGGAGAGCTTGTCCTGGAGCAGGGATGGCAGGATTGTGTTGAAGGCAGAGCTGAAGTCCACGAACAGGACCCTGGCGTAGGTCCCCGGGGAGTCCAGGTGCTGTAGGATGTGGTGGAGGGCCAGGTTAATGGCGTCGTCTACAGATCTGTTGGCCCTGTAGGCGAACTGCAGGGGGTCCAGGAGGGGGGAGGTGAGGGACTTGAGATGGGAGAGAACCAGGCGTTCAAATGACTTCATGACGACAGACGTAAGTGCTACAGGTCTGTAGTCATTGAGTCCTGTGATCCTGGGCTTCTTCGGAACGGGGACAATGATGGAGGATTTGAAGCAGGCCGGGACATGGCATGACTGCAGAGAGGTGTTGAAAATGTCAGTGAACACAGGAGTAAGTTCACTGGTGCAGTGTCTCAGAGTGGCCGGAGACACGTGGTCCGGGCCAGGAGCTTTGCGGGGGTGCAGCCTCAAGAAGAGTTGTTTAATCTCTTTAGCGGCTATTGTCAGGCTGGGGGCAGGGCTGATGGGTGGGTCGTTAGAGTAGTGGGGGGAGGGAGAGGTGTCAGGGGCAGCATCAAAGCGACTGAAAAATAAGTTCAGTTCGTCAGCTAGCTTGTGGTCATCAGCACAGGGGGGGGCTTTGGGTTTGTAGTTGGTGATCTCCCGTAGGCCCCTCCAGACAGAAGCAGTATCGTTGTTACCAAACTGCTCCTGTAGTCGTTCTCTGTGCCGGGACTTGGCTGCTTTCAGTTCTTTCCTGAACTGATATTTAGCTGCTTTGTAGCCGCTGCGGTCCCCCTCCCTGAAAGCAGACTCCTTTGCTTTCCTGAGCTGCCGGAGTTTAGCAGTGAACCAGGGTTTTGTCGTTGTTATAGATGACCCTGGTCCTTGTTGGAATGATGCTATCCTCACAGAAGTGAATGTATGACGTCACAGTGTCCGTGTATTCATCCAAACTATCTGTGGCAGCTCTGAAAAGGTCCCAGTCTGTAGATTCCATGCATGCGCGCAGCTCTTCCACAGCTTCATCAGACCACACTTTGGAGCTCCTCACTGCAGGTTTCGAGAGCTTTAGTCTCTGTCTGTAAGCAGGAACCAGATGTATCATGGAGTGATCTGAGAAGCCGAGGGCTGGCTTGGGAACAGCGCGAAAAGATCCGCGCACGGTGGTGTAACAGTGATCCAGAGTGTTCTCCTCTCTGGTCGGGCATTTGATAAACTGTCTGTATTTGGGTAATTCCTGGCTCAAATATGGTCGTACTTCCTGGTTCTAGTCAGGACTCGAGCTGCTGCATTTTGAATGTACTGCAGCTGTTTTACAGCCTGTTTGGACAGACCTGTGAGCAGGCCATTGCAGTAGTCTAACCTACTGGAGACAAATGCATGGATAAGAATCTCCAAGTCTACTTTAGACACTATGTTTTTGATCCTGGCGATGTTTTTTTTTTTTTCTATATGATATTTACCGAACTCTGCTGACTTTCCTCCGCAGTCTCAGCGTAGTGGCAAAGAGACCGCAGGTTTACAGAGTGCGAAGAATCAATACATAGAATAGTCGAGTTAGTGTTTAAAATACCGGTAAAATACAACACCCCTAACCACAAAGAGACACAATATAAACAATATTAACAACACACAAAGTGCTCAACAACATGCATACATGACATAACCGTACATGATGCACTCTTTAGCACGTACAGTATGTTTATCAGTGAGGGCTGAACTAAAGACCAGCCTCTGTCCCTCAGGCTGGTGTACTGGGTCGCCGCCGCCTTCCAGAGCAGTGTCCGGGCGTTTGGCTTCGGCCTCTGCTTCCTCCCGTCCCTCGTCATGATGGCCGCCAACCTCTACTTCCTGGTGACAATGGAGATGGGAGCTGGAGCGTTTGTCCCGCCTCAGACAGAGCAGGCCCCGCCACCCGGACGCCAACGCTTCTGGGGCTGAGCGTCAGGACTGTGCCTTTCTCATAACTATTGATGAAGAGCGGTGGAATGAAGAAATGTCATGTTTTTTATGTGGGAATGAAGAAGTCGCCAAATCTTCCTTAGAATCTATTGTAGCAGTTTTATCAATCATGTGTTTTAGTCATGGTACAATCGAGAAGTATGTTTTTATGTTATTGTCTTTTTTTATTAGCACACTTCATACACAAAGCAAAGCTAGCTGTAGTCACCGAGGCTATCATGGAAACACTGATGTCCTGAAGTGAAGCATGTTGGAGAAACAGAAGTGAAAGTTTTCCTTTGATTCAGTCAGTGTTTCTGTGAGACTCTGAGACTGTGTTGTGTTTCTGTGAGACTGTGTTGTGTTTCTGTGAGACTGTGTGTAACCTCTCTCTAAATCTAATCTAAAGCTATAAGGAAGTACATAGCACTTTCTCATGAAACCATCATCACAAACAACCATGCACAGCGCCCTCCTCTGGACAGATGTCACAGCGCCCTCCTCTGCACAGATGTGTCACAGCGCCCTCCTCTGGACAGATGTGTCACAGCGCCCTCCTCTGCACAGATGTGTCACAGCGCCCTCCTCTGGACAGATGTGTCACAGCGCCCTCCTCTGCACAGATGTGTCACAGCGCTCATGGAGTTACTGTAGACATACAGAATATAACATGTTCAGACTGAGCTCAGACTGACGTCAGAGGAATAAGATAAAAGATCCTTTGTTCGTCGCAGTGGGGAGTGATGCTGAATGAAGAGTGTGAAGTGAATGAATCATGTTTAAATAAACAATACAGACTCCACTGCATCTATTTATTTATTTGAACAGTATTAATACTGCACAAAAGGAGAGGGCTGAAGCAAAAAGCTTATTAGCACCGCACCCCCAAAGTCAATTACAATCAAACTTTACATATTATAATGAAAATAGTACAGAACAAGGATATAAAGGCACACAAAAGAGCTACATCTGCACATCCTGAATTATAGAATAATTAACAATCAATTTACAGAATAAAGGGTTGTCATGACATTGACTTTGAATTCACGGACCAGAGAGAGACCAGAGCCTCACTGATAAAAGGACAAAATAGACTTTTAGTTTATGTTTCAAAGCAGTTTCAGTCACACTTTGAACTGTTCTTATTCTTATCAATCACTGGTGATTGTTCTTTAAGAGGATTAATGAAACAGATGCATCATTATTCTGTGAGATGTGTGTCCAAATCAACTTGAGATACTTAAGAAACACCAGTGTTTTCTTCCAATCATCAGAATGTGTCCATATCTTTTACTGTTCGGTGATCAGTTTCAGATCATCTGCTATGAATAACGTGACGTGCGCAGCCTCCAGTGCGCCCCCACGTGGTCTGTGACCGAACAGCACAGGACCAGAGGAGAGAGACCAGCGGAGACGGAGCAGAGGAGGGAAGATCCCGGCCATCACAGCGCTCTCAGCGGCATCGAGGAGAGAGTAGCCCGGCCATCAGAGCTCTCACAGCGGGAGAGAGAAGGGAAGAGCCCGAGAGAAGAGCTCTCACAGCGGGTGCGAGGAGAGAAGAGCCGTGTTCCCAGCTCCCGGGGGCCGGGGGCCTGGCGGCAGGACCGCTGCAGGGCCATGAGCCCCGTCATGGACCTGTTGTGGAGAATCCTCGCTGCTCTCAGCTTTGACTGCTTCAAAGATTCCACATCCACGAGGTGAGCGGCTCTTGTTCTCCTCCAGAGCTGAGGGCCAGAGGGAGCTCCAGGGACTGGGGGTCCAGGGACTGGGGGTCCAGGGACTGGAGGTCCAGGAACTGGAGGTCCAGGGCCAGGTGCGCACGTGCACTGGCCTTCATCACAACACCTCTGTGGGCCTGTGCACCCGACATACGTCACTGTGACGTCACCATACTGTTTGACCGGGTGCTGTTCTATGCGTCTGTCATATAATATAATAGGACTCTGTGCGCATGCGCTGGGAGATTACTCAACTTGTATTTTCTTACAGAAAAGGAAATCTGCTTTCATTAATGTCACTTGTTCTGTACCGAGAATGTGACGTGTGCGTGTGTGAGTGCGCTGTGTGCAGGTCTCAGGCCCTCACCTCTTTCTCTGTTTATAGGTCCCCAGGGGCCCTCAGCAGTGCCCGGCCCAGTGTGGACAGCAGCTCTCTGACTGGCTCTCTGTCCCTGGGGCCCGACCTGCCACACTGTCAGAGTGGTGTGTGTCCTGGCGCCTCCCACGGGGCCTCTCACGGGGCCCGCCTGAAGCGTCTGTCCTGTGGGCACCTGTACTGTGGCCCCTGCTGTGACATCATCGTGAACCAGGCCTTTGAGGACATCGAGGGCCTGTCTCAGTTCCCCTGTCCCCTGTGCCGCTCCCACAGACAGGGGCCCGCCCAGGGGCCCTCGCTGAGGCAGCTGGGACCCTCCTGCTCGGCGTACTTCAGCGGCCCCTACAGCCTCCTGCACAACCCCCCTGAGGAGCCCTGACCCCTGAGGACCTCCATGCGGGCCCCTTCAGTGCGCAGCAGTAGCAGGTCCCTTTGGGAGACTGTGACCTGCTGCAGACTTCATCTAAGTTTGAGAAAAAGCTTTTTTCAGATGAAACTGAGAGAGTGATGTCACACTCTGTGTAATTAGTGTCAGGACCAAAAGTAACTGAAAGTGTAACCGTGATATAATTTAATATTAAGATATAAAAATGTTAGAGAAACTTATGATGGCCACATGTGAACTTCTGCTACTGCCGACGAACCCAACCCCGACTCAGACTCAGGCTCAGACTCAAACCCAGACTCAGGCTCAGACCCAGAGTCAGACCCAGACCCAGAGTCTTCTCTGGACTCAGACTTTAAAGGACACCGACGCTCTGTGAACTTCATATATAATAGTTTGTGTAAATCTCACAGGATGGACCTTTGTTTTATATAAAATAGTTTTATAAAAGTCTTCATGTGAGATCCCTCGTGGGGGCCCGGCTCTGGGGCTGTCAGTTGTGTGTGTGTCTGTGTGTGTGCTTGAGAGTTTGTGTGTGTTTGTGTAATATACTTTTCTGAAATGTGTAAACTTGACATTTGTACAAAATAAAGAGTCTTCTGTGAGTTTCACTTTCACTTTATTACATCATCATGAAACAAGAAGCAGGCCACGCCCACACTCTGCTTCCCTCAACACTGATTGGCTGCTTCAGCTGTCACTGAAACATGATATTTTCACATATGAAAAGAAACAAAAATATTTCATACAGTTTATTGTGTTTGGAACATCTCAGATTCAAAAGTATTTCATAAAAAAGTCGTTGACTGTAAACAAAGTTCCATTTGAGTCTAAATGTAAGAATGTATATGAATAATAAATATAATACTTTTAATGAACGTAGAAGAGTATAAATGACTCCAGCGCATGGATCACATGGTTCAGTCCATCCTGCATGTTCTTCCCCTGTATCCGGGACCGGGAGCAGGTGGCAGTCTGAGCAGAGACTGTTTCACACCAGTCTTTGTCAAAAGTGGAGCAGCACAGAAATAGTACTGTGGCCCAAATACACACACACACGCATTCCAGATACACATATACATACACCCGCACACACACACACAAGTCTAAATCACAGTCTCAAAGGTCTAATATTAGACCCCCCCAGTCTGCTCTGGGACCCCTGCTCTGGGCCCCCCTGCTCTGGGCCCCCCTGCTCTGGGCCTCCCTGCTCTGGGCCCCCCCGCTCTGGGCCCCCTTGCTCTGACGTCACAAAAGGACGCTCCAGTTCTTCTAAAGACAAAAGTCCAGGAATGTGTTCAAATGCAGTGAGATATAAAGGTATATAAGAGGAGGAAGATGTTTCGGGTGGAAAACCAAGACCAGGGATGTCAAAGTCAAATACATCAGAGGCCAAAAAAACTAATTTGCAAAAGGCGAGGGCCGGAATGGTTCAATGTTTCTTCAAACATATAAAAATGTTGCATAATACTGAGGGGGTGGCAGTAGCTCAGTTGGTAGAGCACTGGTCTTTGAAACTAATGGTTGTGGGATCAAGCCCACCATGAACCATGTCACCTGCTCCCACTGATGTCTGCTGTTGTTGTGTCCCTGGGCAAGACACTTAACCCCACATTGCCTGAAGTTCCCGCTGAAAGACCAAGGCCAGGTCAACGATGATGCAGACGCCATCATCCTGTGGCCTCACCACCTGCAGAGGTTCAGCGAGGGACTGGTGCCATGAGACCTGGGTGGCAGCTCTGATTGCCCACTCCCAGAAATGGCTTGATAAAGGGGAAGACAATGACATGCTATAATTGACCCAACACAAATAATATCCCGGGGCCCGAGATAATTCACTCGCAGGCCTTGACTTTGACACCCATTATCAAGACTATGGGTTCTTCTAACTGTCAATCATTCTGGTGATACGCGACTATCAAACAAAGGAGATTCTTTCACACAATGGCGCTGAAAGCACTGATGCTTCAGCCGTTTCTACTCCACAGGTAAAGTTCATTCTATTTGAAGAAATCCAATTCAAATCACTTCCAGTAAAAGTCATCTACTGTACGTCTATATTGTCTGACATCGTGGAAACAGTGCAAATGTTCTTGGAAAGAGCTAGAGTGAGCGACGCCCGGAGTGACCTGTAACAGAGCGTGCATGAGGAGAACTGGGCTCGTGCACGTCTCTCGTCTTCAGTAAGCCATCCTCTGGAGAGAGCGGGTCTTTCCTAAATTTTAAGTAAAACCTCTGTCGGGGTATTTTCACCTCAGCGTCATGTCATCATGTGATTTAGAAACATAAAGTGGAGCCTGTGAGTCCTGAGCTGCTGTATCTGTAACAGGACAAGGCTGTGGTTGCACACTTTGAGATTATTGATACAAAGATTGTGGTTGGAGTGTGTAAGCGTACCAAAAACATCATCCACTCATATTCATCGTACCGTCGTCACGTCTTCCACAGCATTTGGAATGATTGTAAAAGTGTGAGTGCAGTTATGACAGCTTCAGCCTGTCTCCTCTGACAGGGCCTTTACTCGTCCCACAGCAGGGAAATTACTAACATTAAAACATTAGATTTTATTATCCATCAGGGCGCAGGACACAGCTGCTCATGTCTATAAAACATTGGAGGAAAACATGGTGTGGTGAATATCTCTCACCACGAGATGAGATTCTGGGATTTCCTTTAAGACTCCCCCAAAGTTGGAACTCACCGCTGTGTCCGCTAAATATTATCTGTAAAAATGTGTAGATTTTGCCAAAATGCTGGTTTGAACCTCCAGGGGAAGGATGGCCAAAGGGACCACAGCCCCCAGAGAAAAGCAGCTGATGGAGCGTCCCTCAGGAGGCCGTGTGCGGGCGACAGGACTGACTCTGGGCCTCAGGGGCCGTGGACCGCCTCCGTCCCGGGGACGAGGCTCTGAAGAGGAAGGTGTGTTTGTGACTTCTCTGAGGAGAGCTCTGCTGGGGACCGGCCGCAGGTCTAGAGCTCTGCTGGGGGCCGGCCGCAGGTCTGGAGCTCTGCTGGGGGCCGGCCGCAGGTCTGGAGCTCTGCTGGGGGCCGGCCGCAGGTCTGGAACTCTGCTGGGGGCCGGCCGCAGGTCTGGAGCTCTGCTGGGGGCCGGCCGCAGGTCTGGAGCTCTGCTGGGGGCCGGCCGCAGGTCTGGAGCTCTGTTGGGGGGACGGGGTCTTGGAGCTTCTGGCTGCAGGGAAGAGGAAGGTGCTGTTGTTGGCGTTCTGGTTCAGGTCCCGCTGGAGGCCCATGGGGGTCTCAGGGGAACAGGGCTCTTTGGGCACCGGGACCTGGGACAGCTGGGTGCGCAGCTGCTGCACCTGCCGGGACAGCCGCTCCACAGGGTGAGGCTGAGGAGAGGACAGCGGGTGGGAGAAGGCCTGGACAGAGGATAGGGTTTTATCAGAGCAGCCCCCAGGAGCCCCCAAACATCTGCTGAACATTTGAAATGTTTTCATCCCAACACTAACGCTAACGCTAACGCTAACGCTAACACTAACACTAACACTAACGCTAATGCTAACACTAATGCTAACACTAACACTAACACAAACGCTAATGCTAACGCTAACACTAACACTAACGCTAACACTGCTATTGACTTTCTTTAAACAGCTGACAACAGCTACAGGGACAGAGGCCTTTAGCTGAAGTAAGATCTTAGTCACTTTAAAGGCACATAGACACTGTTTCACTTCCTGTCTGCTCGTCCTGAGTGATTCCACTGATGCCAAATGTAACACGAACATTTCTTTACTGTGAGATCAATAAAGTTTTATCTCATCAGAGATGGTGGAGCTCGTACCTGTGCATGTATGGCCCCCCGCAGGTAGCACTGCCTCCACAGACCCAGGCAGGGGCCCATCAGCAGAGGCAGCAGAGGTTCGTAGGGGTCCAGGGGCCCCTGGGGGCCTGAGTGTGAGGTGAGAGTGTGGGGGAAGTCAGCCAGAGCCCAGGCCTTCAAGAGCCTCTCCAGCCCCGGCACGTGCTCCGAGGACAGGGCCCTGCGGTGGCTCTTCCGGTACACGCTGGAGCTGAGGCTGCTGCGCCAAGGGGGCAGCTGAGGGGGGCAGGAGAAACTGCCCCGGGACAAGAGGAAGACTGAGCCAGGGATGGTGTCTGCCATCTGCACAGAGAGACACACACAAACACACGCACACACACACACACACACACACACACAGGAGTGCATTGTAAATTTCTCCATTGAGAGATCAATAAAGTTTATATTAAAGCGACCTCTTTTTCTCTTGGGACTGAATGTGAACACACAAAGGTCTCAAAGCATAAAGTTCTGTGTTGTTTAAGAAACTGTCAGCTCTGAGGTTCGCTCTGCTGTAGCCACTGGCCATTATGAGGGCTGCATTATGGTGGTAAGCCTGGTAGCGAGCCAAGTAGCTAGTCTGGTAGCTTGCCAGAGCATTTGACTGATGTAAACTCTCGGGGGAGATAGAAGGGCCACATTTTATGATCAGTATTTGTAGGTGGGCTGCACATCTTCACCATCACACCATCTCCTCTTTCCCACATTCTCTTCCATTTTATCATTGTCTTTCTTGTGCTTGAACTGTTTGATTCTCTAATCTGTATTGGCGAATCGAATGAGACGATGTTCTCTCTGAATGATAAAGTGGCCGTACCCGCAGTGTGTCTGTGCCGGTGTTCAGGTTCCCGTTGAGCAGAGGCTGGGGCGGGGTAGGGCTGGGGATGGGCTGGGTGAAGCTGGCCTGCCGCTCCTTACTGTACTGCAGGTCCCAGTCCCACACGGGGGGCAGAGGGGGGTCACACAGGTCCTCCAGCTCCAGGGGCACGTCCCTCCAGCCCTCCACCCGAGTGTACGACTGCCCCACATGCTGCCAACGACAAGGGAGTCATATTCTACAAAACCTTACTCATTTCAAATGAACAGAATTTCACTCTGAACCCGAGCAGGGAAAATTAACCAAACAGACACAAGCAGCTCATCACCAGCAGCTGTCTGTCTGTCTCTGTGTGTGTCTCTCTGTCTGTGTGTGTCTGTCTGTCTGTCTGTGTCCTTTTGTGTCTGTGTGTGTGTGTGTGTGTGTGTGTGTGTGTCTGTCTGTCTGTGTCCTTTTGTGTGTGTCTGTCTATCTGTCTGTCTGTGTGTCTGTGTGTTTTGTGTCTGTGTGTCTGTCTGTGTGTCTGTGTGTGTGTCTGTGTGTGTGTGTGAGTGTGTGTCTGTCTGTCTGTCTGTGTCCTTTTGTGTCTGTGTGTCTGTCTGTGTGTCTGTCTGTGTGTCTGTCTGTGTGTCTGTGTGTCTGTCTGTCTGTGTGTCTGTGTGTCTGTCTGTGTTCTTGTGTGTCTGTCTGTGTGTCTGTGTGTCTGTCTGTCTGTCTGTCTGTGTGTCTGTCTGTGTGTCTGTGTGTCTGTGTGTCTGTCTGTGTGTCTGTCTGTGTGTCTGTCTGTCTGTCTGTCTGTGTGTCTGTCTGTCAGTCTGTCTGTGTGTCTGTCTGTCTGTCTGTCAGTCTGTCTGTGTGTCTGTCTGTGTGTCTGTCTGTCTGTCTGTCTGTGTGTCTGTCTGTCAGTCTGTCTGTGTGTCTGTCTGTCAGTCTGTCTGTGTGTCTGTCTGTCTGTGTGTCTGTGTGTCTGTCTGTCTGTGTGTCTGTGTGTCTGTGTGTCTGTCTGTGTGTCTGTCTTCAGATTGAGGGACTTGGAATAAAGAGGAACCAATGAGAAAGTGGAGATAGAACATGTTGCCGAGGCCTTGTGGAGCCTGGAGGTGCAGACACTGTACCTGGGAGCTCTTCAGCCGCTCCCTCTGAGAGTTGGCCAGGAAGGTGGAGAAGAGCGGCAGGTGGAGGCTGTCGTGGAGCGCCAGCAGGAAATCCTCCGTGAGCTGGAAGCGAGACGGGAACTGTGCCCAGAGCTGCCACACACAGTCCAGGAAGAGCAGGAAGACCGGAGACTGGGAACACAGACGTCACTGCAGCAGCGTGTGTCCAATGAGATCTCAGCGTTTGAGGCCAAAGAAAACGGAAAAGGAAAGAGAGGGAGGCCTCGCGGAGGAGCAGTTAAGTCTGAGAGAGCTCCTTTAAAAAGTCCTCTCCCTCTGACCTAGCACACTTCCTCCTTGTGGTGTGTGTGTGTGTGTGTGTGTGTGTGTGTGTAAAGTGAAATGTACACACAGTCTGATGGGTGGGGTTGAGGTGTGTGCTGTAGAAATTATGAATTATTGCGCACTTTTATTGAGCACTTAAAGAAGCTCCTGTATACCCGTTTCTGCAAGGTTAGATAGATTGTCCGAGGCGGTCCCAATCCCGCACGTCTCTCCAGAGGTTACGATGTAAGCTAGCTATGTTCACCCGGGCTTGATTTCCTCTTTGATCATTTTTTCGCTTTAGTTCCCTCTTCTCTTCCTCACTGTGTCGTTTGGGTTGTTTTGCTGTGTCTGCAGTTACAGCCAGAGCCACTATCAGCTCCATGCTGCTCTTGTTTACCAGCGCTGTAGAGGCTAGAGGAGGCGTGGCCTAATCGTAAAAGCGCTCCTCCTCGTTCTGTGATTGGAGGAGAGCTGGCGTCACGCTAAGTTTCTACTCAACACTTTTTACGGCCTGAGTTCATACACAGCTGAATCAATGAGCTCAAATTAAATTACGGATTTTAATACAACTTGTATGTAGTAATAAGCATTTTTATGAACTCATTAGAAAAATAATCAGGTATAGCTTCTTTAAGACCCACCTTTTCTCTTTGGCTTTTAATACCAGGTAGAAAGAGACAAGTTTTCGATGTGTATACCTTGCGAAAGTATTCGCCCCCCTTGAACCTTTCAACATTTCGCCACATTTCAGGCTTCAAACATAAAGATATCAAATTTTTATTTTTTGTCATGAATCAACAACAAGTGGGACACAATCGTGAAGTGGAACGAAATTTATTGGATAATTTACACTTTTTAACAAATAAAAAACTGAAAAGTGGGGCGTGCAATATTATTCGGCCCCTTTACTTTCAGTGCAGCAAACTCAGTCCAGAAGTTCAGTGAGGATCTTTGAATGATCCAATGTTGTCCTAAATGACTGATGGTGATAAATAGAATGCACCTGTGTGTAATCAAGTCTCCGTATAAATGCACCTGCTCTTTGATAGTCTCAGGGTTCTGTTTAAAGCGCAGAGAGAACCATGAAGACAAAGGAACACACCAGGCAGGTCCGAGGTACTGTTGTGGAGAAGTTTAAAGCCGGATTTGGATACAAAAAGATTTCCCAAGCTTTAAACATCTCAAGGAGCACTGTGCAAGCAATTATGTTGAAATGGAAGGAGTATCAGACCACTGCAAATCTACCAAGACCCGGCCGTCCCTCCAAACTTTCATCTGAAACAAGGAGAAGACCAGAGATGCAGCCAAGAGGCCCATGATCACTCTGGATGAACTGCAGATAACTACAGCTGAGGTGGGAGAGTCTGTCCATAGGACAACAATCAGTCGTGCACTGCACAAATCTGGCCTTTATGGAAGAGTGGCAAGAAGAGTGCCATTTCTCAAAGATATCCATAAAAAGTCTCGTTTAAAGTTTGCCACAAGCCACCTGGGAGACACACCAAACATGTGGAAGAAGGTGCTCTGGTCAGATGAAACCAACATCGAACTTTTTGGCCACAATGCAAAACGATATGTTTGGCGTAAAAGCAACACAGCTCATCACCCTGAACACACCATCCCCACTGTCAAACATGGTGGTGGCAGCATCATGGTTTGGGCCTGCTTTTCTTCAGCAGGGACAAGGAAGATGGCTAAAATTGATGGGAAGATGGATGGAGCCAAATACAGGACCATTCTGGAAGAAAACCTGTTGGAGTTTGCAAAAGACCTGGGACTGGGACGGAGATTTATCTTCCAACAGGACAAGGATCCAAAACATAAAGCCAAATCTACAATGGAATGGTTCACAAATAGACGTATCCAGGTGTTAGAATGGCCAAGTCAAAGTCCAGACCTGAATCCAATCGAGAATCTGTGGAAAGAGCTGAAGACTGCTGTTCACAAACGCTCTCCATCCAACCTCACTGAGCTCGAGCTGTTTTGCAAGGAAGAATGGGCAAGAATTCCAGTCTCTCGATGTGCAAAACTGATAGACATACCCCAAGCGACTTGCAGCTGTAATTGCAGCAAAAGGTGGCGCTACAAAGTATTAGCGCAAGGGGCCGAATAATATTGCACGCCCCACTTTTCAGTTTTTTATTTGTTAAAAAAGTTTAAATTATCCAATAAATTTCGTTCCACTTGACGATTGTGTCCCACTTGTTGTTGATTCTTGACAAAAAAAATTAGTTTTTATATCTTTATGTTTGAAGCCTGAAATGTGGCAAAATGTTGAAAGGTTCCAAGGCACTGTATATACTGTATTTCTGTTAATTTTTTATGTTGTTCTCACTGTCTGTACAGTACTTTGGTAAGCCTGTTTTAAATGTGCTCTACAAATAAAAATTGGATTTATGGATTGATTGAATTATTGCAGCGGTTTAAGGCGTGTTTCTATCATTCTATACTAAAATACTAATAAAGCATTATAGTGGAGAAAAATGCTTTATCAGTAGCATTTTTCTATATGCTGCTACCGTGCTGAGTGGCTGAGTACCTACCACTCAGCCTCTCGACATGGTGGCTGAGTGGTTAGCACTCTAGGTTTGAATCCCGGTTGGAACAGGGTCTTTCTGAGTGAAGTTTGCATGTTCTCCTCGCCTGTCCTGGATCTACAGCCTCAGTAGTTTTTACTTGGAGCAGGCTGTAAGGTCAGAGATGATCCAGGACACTCCACATTTATCATCAGTTATGGACCAATGTCTGTGTGTGTTTGAACCGTTTGATTCTCTGATCTGTGTTTTTGCAAAGTCCTCCACAGAGAGAACTACTGTTGTGATTTAGGGCAATACACAAATAAGTACCTCGTCCTTGTCGCAGTCTCGGTGGTAGTTGAGGCGGCTGTAGAAGCGGTGGCCTGCTGTGACCCACTCCTTCTGCAGCAGACTCTGGAAGCCTCTCTGTGTGCGGCTGTGGGGGTCGCACATGACCTGCACCAGAGAGGACACCAGGCAACCCATGTCCCGGTCCTCCGCCTCTGTACACACAAACACACACACACACACACACACAAGAACATACACACAAATACACAGACACAAGGACACACACACAAGGACATACACACACATATATATACACACGCACACACATGTACACACACACACACACACATGTACATACACGTACACACAAATACGTATACACACAGACACACATACATATACACGCACAAACACACACACAAGGGCACATACACACAGGCACAAGAACATACACACACATACACATACACATAGACACACAAGGACAAACATACACACACACACACATGGACATACACAGACACACACATACAAGGATACACACACACAGACACAAATACAAATACACACAAGGACACACACAGACACGCACACATACATACAAGAACACACACACACACACACAAAGACACACAAGGACACACACAGACACACATACACAAGGACACACACAGACACACACAAACAGACACACAAGGACACACACACACTGCATATTAGTTCAGGTTCTTCTTTCCAACTCATAGAATTGTTAATGTTTTTTATAATTTCTATCATCTCAGGATCTGTTCTGTGAGTGTGTTGTTCATTATGTGAGGTGTGTGTCTGTGAGTGTGTTGTTCATGATGTGAGGTGTGTGTCTGTGAGTGTGTTGTTCATGATGTGAGGTGTGTGTCTGTGAGAGTGTTGTTCATGATGTGAGGTGTGTGTCTGTGAGTGTGTTGTTCATGATGTGAGGTGTGTGTCTGTGAGTGTGTTGTTCATGATGTGAGGTGTGTGTCTGTGAGTGTGTTGTTCATGATGTGAGGTGTGTGTCTGTGAGTGTGTTGTTCATGATGTGAGGTGTGTGTCTGTGAGTGTGTTGTTCATGATGTGAGGGTGTGTCTGTGAGTATGTTGTTCATTATGTGAGGTGTGTGTCTGTGAGTGTGTTGCTCATGATGTGAGGTGTGTGTCTGTGAGTGTGTTGTTCATTATGTGAGGTGTGTGTCTGTGAGTGTGTTGTTCCTGATGTGAGGTGTGTGTCTGTGAGTGTGTTGCTCATGATGTGAGGTCTGTGTCTGTGAGTGTGTTGTTCATGATGTGAGGTGTGTGTCTGTGAGTGTGTTGTTCATGATGTGAGGTGTGTGTCTGTGAGAGTGTTGCTCATGATGTGAGGTGTGTGTTGTTCATGATGTGAGGTGTGTGTCTGTGAGTGTGTTGTTCATGATGTGAGGTGTGTGTCTCTGAGAGTGTTTCTCATGATGTGAGGTGTGTGTCTGTGAGAGTGTTGTTCATGATGTGAGGTGTGTGTCTGTGAGCGTGTTGTTCATGATGTGAGGTGTGTCTGTGAGTGTGTTGTTCATGATGTGAGGTGTGTGTGAGTGTGTTGTTCATGATGTGAGGTGTGTGTCCGTGAGCGTGTTGTTCATGATGTGAGGTGTGTGTCTGTGAGTGTGTTGTTCATGATGTGAGGTGTGTGTCTGTGAGTGTGTTGTTCATGATGTGAGGTGTGTGTGTGTGTGAGTGTGTTCATGATGTGAGGTGTGTGTCTGTGAGTGTGTTGTTCATGATGTGAGGTGTGTGTCTGTGAGTGTGTTGTTCATGATGTGAGGTGTGTATCTGTGAGTGTGTTGTTCATTATGTGAGGTGTGTGTCTGTGAGTGTGTTGTTCATGATGTGAGGTGTGTGTCTGTGAGTGTGTTGCTCATGATGTGAGGTGTGTGTCTGTGAGTGTGTTGTTCATGATGTGAGGTGTGTGTCTGTGAGTGTGTTGCTCATGATGTGAGGTGTGTGTCTGTGAGTGTGTTGTTCATGATGTGAGGTGTGTGTCTGTGAGAGTGTTGCTCATGATGTGAGGTGTGTGTCTGTGAGTGTGTTGTTCATGATGTGAGGTGTGTGTCTGTGAGAGTGTTGTTCATGATGTGAGGTGTGTGTCTGTGAGTGTGTTGTTCATGATGTGAGGTGTCTGTCTGTGAGTGTGTTGCTCATGATGTGAGGTGTGTGTCTGTGAGTGTGTTGTTCATGATGTGAGGTGTGTGTCTGTGAGAGTGTTGCTCATGATGTGAGGTGTGTGTCTGTGAGTGTGTTGTTCATGATGTGAGGTGTGTGTCTGTGAGTGTGTTGTTCATGATGTGAGGTGTGTGTGAGTGTGTTGTTCATGATGTGAGGTGTGTGTCTGTGAGCGTGTTGTTCATGATGTGAGGTGTGTGTCTGTGAGTGTGTTGTTCATGATGTGAGGTGTGTGTCTGTGAGTGTGTTGTTCATGATGTGAGGTGTGTGTGTGTGAGTGTGTTGTTCATGATGTGAGGTGTGTGTCTGTGAGTGTGTTGTTCATGATGTGAGGTGTGTATCTGTGAGTGTGTTGTTCATTATGTGAGGTGTGTGTCTGTGAGTGTGTTGTTCATGATGTGAGGTGTGTGTCTGTGAGTGTGTTGTTCATGATGTGAGGTGTGTGTCTGTGAGTGTGTTCATGATGTGAGGTGTGTGTCTGTGAGTGTGTTGTTCATCATGTGAGGTATGTGTCTGTGAGTGTGTTGTTCATGATGTGAGGTGTGTGTGTGTGTGATTGTGTTGTTCATGATGTGAGGTGTGTGTGTGTGAGTGTGTTGTTCATGATGTGAGGTGTGCGTCTGTGAGTGTGTTGTTCATGATGTGAGGTGTGCGTCTGTGAGTGTGTTGTTCTGACCCTGCAGAGCCACCGTCATGTGACCGCTCCGCAGCAAACAGCACACTTCAGAGGCCTTCCTCAGACACGCCCTGAAACACACAACATACGTCATGAACACACAACATACTTTGTAATGCGCTGGAAAACGGCTGCAAGTCCTACTGTAAGTGCCTCTGAAACAGTTGTTGTTTTGTGCTTTACAAATGTTATTTTTCTTGCTTTTTTCTACCTGCTGCAGTACAGTGTTTATGGTTTTGCACTGGTCCAGACCGGAGCAGAGAGGATTTATGGTCCGAAACAAGCAGATCAGGTGAAAATCCACTGGAGGAATGCTAGTGAAGCATTTTGCTTTTTACTTTGGACTAGAGCAGAGAAAAAGATCCAAACCAAGCGGCTACTCCACCTTGTGACCCGTCCTGTTCCACCCAGAGGCTACTCCACCTCTGCTGCTGTGACCTGAAGGACTGTTGCTGATTATTACTATTGTTAGCTATTCAGAATTATCCATTTTTTTGTTGTTGTTGCTACTACTGGACACCTGAATTTCTCCTACGGGGAGCAATAAAGTATCTATCTATCTATCTACATGCACTGAAACACTAACCCAAGATACGTCATAAACATACACCACATACATCATGAACACACACAACATACATCATGAACACACACTACATACGTCATGAACACACGCCACAATTTTTCATGAACACACACTACACACGTTATGAACACAACATACATCATGAACACACACAACCGGCACAAATGGCAGACTATCAACTGCCTGGTGTTGTCTTACCTGGTGTGGTGCAGCCAGTGGGTGCTCTCCAGAGACGACAGCCACTTATCGTCCGGAACGGTCATGGAGCTGGACACATCTGCACACACACACGCACGCACACACAAGCAAAAACATAGCTTCAGTGTTCGTTCTTCTGCTCAACTGTTACACACAATATGAGTGGCCAGTAACAAAGTATTACACTTGTGTTTAGATGCATGAATACAGGTTTGAAGTGGTTGGTCATGCTTCTAAGTCCATGCAGAGTGTGGGGCTGACCTCCCAGGCACAGTGCCCTCAGGCGGCTGTGGGACAGATGGATGTCCAGAGTAGAGGGTAGCTCCTCCCCCAGCTCCACCACCACACACAGGGATGAGTGGCCCCCGAACAGGACCAGCTCCAGGTTCCTATCACAGAACACCAGAGTGAGAGACCGGAGAGAGAGACCAGAGAGAGACCGTTACACCGTCCTCACACTGTCCCCACACCGTCACTACACCGTCTCCTCACACTGTCCCCACACTGTCCCCAAACGTCCTCACACTGTCCCCACATCGTCCCTACACTGTCTCTTACACTGTCCCCGCAGCATCCTCACAATGTCCCCACACCGTACCCACACTGTCTCTTACACTATTCTCACACTGTCCCCACACTGTCTCTTACACTGTCCCCACAGCGTCCTCACAATGTCCCCACACTGTCTCTTACACTGTCCCCACAGCGTCCTCACACTGTCCCCATAGCGTCCTCACACTGTCCCCACAGCGTCCTCACACTGTCCCCACAGCATCCTCACACTGTCCCCATAGCGTCCTCACACTGTCCCCACAGCGTCCTCACACTGTCCCCACACCGTCCCCACACTGTCTCTTACACTGTCCCCACACTGTCCCCACAGCGTCCTCTCACTGTTTCTTACACTGTCCCCACACCGTCCTAACGCAACCCCCACACCGTCTTCACACGTCCCCACACCGTGCCCATACCGTATGTCATCCTTCTCGTGGTAGATGTTGTTCTGGAAGCTGGACATTCGCAGCAGGTCAGCTCCACGAGGGTGTCTCCAGCTCCAGCGCTGCAGCAAACAGCAGTTCAGAATATACACACATTTGGCATACACATTGACACACACACACAACATACACACACAGCATACAAATACCACATACACACACTCACCACATACACACACCAGACACGCACTGCATACACACACACACACTCAGTGTACAAATAGACACACGCACATAGACACACACACACAGTATACGCACGCACGCACCACATACACCCACACTCACCACATACACATGTACACACCAGACACACAAATACATACACATACAGACATACAAACACACACACACACACACAAACACACATAAAAACATACACACACACAGGGGCCGAGCACTGACCGGGATGCGGCCCTCGCTGAAGTGGGCAAAGGTTTTCTTCAGCTCCGTGTCCAGAACCCTCTGAGGCACCACCACAAAGCGAGAGAGACTGCACACGTCACACACACGATTTATGTCACGTATAAGAGGGAAGGCCTCTGTTAGCTTTAGCTTCTGCCGATACCCTGTATTTTAACCTTATTTTCCAAGTGCATTAATATCAAATTGTGAGAATAAACTAAAACTGAACCATTTCAAATGTCATGGAATCTTAATTTTATTAGATGGGTTTGGTTGAACATTTGTACAGATGTAAACATACGGCTGCTAACATGTCATGTACAAATGCTAACATACTAATGCTAACATGTACAGATGCTAACATACTAATGCTAACATGTACAGATGCAAACATTTAGCATTTAGCATTTAGCCTAGCCATCTCCTTTGCCGCTAACGATTTTTGCCAGCGATTACATTTTCTAAACATTCCTCTCGCTCCGGCTTCAATTTCTAAATAGAACCAGACCGGATTACTTTACTATCGCATTTTTCGCCATTGCCAAACTACAACCTGCCCGCTCGCCGCAAACTCTTGACGTCACCCACAACTAACTACAACACCCGAATCCCGCGCTCGCTGATTGGTCGGATGGAATTCAACCGATGTAATCGCGAACATGCAGGAAAATGATGACTGAGCTGTGTGTATGGATGGCTAAGGCCAGGCTAGAAAGAACCCCTTTTTAAACTGTGTATTGTGCTTTATATTCTTTGAGTACTGAGTATTTGTATTGGTTTGACCCTGGTCCTTACCTGGTGGCCATCTCGAAGCGCTCGTTGACCGCGCTGACCCTCCAGCCCACTGCCCCACAGCGCTCCAGCTCCTGGTTCCAGTCCTGAGCCGTCTCAAACCAGTTCATGTGGGGGTCTCTGCTGCGGTTACTAAGGAACTGCTTCATCTCTGCAGCAGACATCACACTGTCAGCCATCAGCCACATCTGCCCCAGAGCCTGAACCCTCCAGACCAGACTGCTGCGGACTGAGGGCGAAATACTGATGCAGCTCCCGCCTACACGTGTGTGCTTCTGTCTGCTGTTATTTCGAGTAATGCTACGCCATGACTTGGATCATTTTGTTTATCTTATTTTATTTCAAATCTCTGTGTTGATTTAAAGTAGCAATATGTAAAATGTTCATGTCAAGTCATCATTAAAGGGCCCTAATCTGTCAAAGGCATTCATAAAACATGCTCTTTTCGAATACTTCTTTAACTATTTCCCCTCTTATTCATGTTAGCAATACTTTATTTACTTTTGTTGGAAACTATGACGGACAAGAGGTGACTTATGCCCAATGTGAAATTCCTGAAATGAATGAATAAACAAACAAACAAATAACAGTAGATATTTGGATTTCAAATATTTGTTTTACAGCCCCTAAATCTTGTTAACGTTTTCAGTTTGATGTCTCACCCTCCACCGTTTTACCAATCAGAAAGTCCATAATCCAGGAACTCACCGCGTTGAGTTTATCTCACTGGTAAAGTCACATGTGCCGCATAACTAAAAAGGGTCTTGATATGATTCTCAAAAAATCAACTATAAAAAAACCAGGAATAAAACGAGGATTTCTATCTTTGTGAAAAAGATGTTGGTTATAGATTTGTTAATGATAAAACTCTTGTCTATTCAGCTGTTATGGTCCCAGCTAGATTTGTCTGTATATCTGGCAACCTGAGTCAGGGAGAGTGGGAGAGGCTGCAGTACCACTTTTGGCCAGATTTTCACATACTGCTCCTTTAACATTACAGTTATTTGAATGTGTTTATGTGTGATGTCTATGGTTTAGGAGTTGCGGTCTGAACGCGCCTCTAGGGGGACACAGAGAGGACCATGTGTAGAGGCTGAACGTACCCACACTGCCCAGAGCAGCGTTCTGAAAGGCCAGCACAGAGCCAGGCTTCAGCGGCTGGTAGGTCTTAGCGATGGTGTAGGTCATCTGAACACAGGATACAAACATTCACCACATCACAAGACTTTAGGTTGATAATAAAAGTGCAAACATTCACTAGGATTGATGAAGAATAGCAGTTTGGGTCGGGGCGTCTTGTGTTTGCTAATGCTAGCTCCCCGCCCGCACTGGAACTCACACCTCAAGGAGCTACTCTGCCAAGGAGCTCCAACTGTGCCCAGACAGAGAGAGAGAGCGCACCTAGGGAGAGACCAGAGAGAGACCAGAGAGAGTGCACCAAGAGAGAGACCAGAGAGAGAGCACCCAGGGAGAGACCAGCGAGAGAGCACCCAGGGAGAGACCAGAGAGGGACAAGAGAGAGACCAGAGAGAGTGCACCCAGGGAGAGACCAGAGAGAGACCAGTGCACCCAGGGAGAGACCAGAGAGAGACCAGTGCACCCAGGGAGAGACCAGAGAGAGAGAGCACCCAGAGAGAGCACCAAGTCAGAGCACCCAGAGAGAGACCAGAGACAGAGAGCACAGAGAGAGGGCACCCAAAGAGAGAGTAAGTTGAACATTATTTTGTGCCCAGACAGGTGATTGTGTTCAATGAAAATTGTGGCTTTATCTAAGACAGGAGGCTTGATGTGACCCAAGCGGACCTCAGAGACAGGTCTGACCAGTGTGAGCAGAGTGAGCAGAATGATCAGAATGACCAGTGACCAGTGTGAGCAGAGCGAGCAGAGTGACCTTTGTGAGAAGAGTGACCAGTGACACAGGACGACCAGTCCTGTGTCGTCCCCTGTGGCTACGGGCGGCTCTCCGCTCCTGACGCAGATGGCTCCTTGGATGACGCTTTTTCTGCTGGTTGCATCTGAACCCTGCCAATTCTCTCATCATTGTTTTATTGTTTTACTGGTGTGTGTGTGTGTGTGTGTGTGTGTGTGTGTGTGTGTGTATGAGTGTTCATGAGCGCGTGTGTGTGTTTATCTGTGGTTTGGGGTGGGTCTGTTGGGTGGTCTGGGGGAGGGGTCTTGGGTCGGCGGGATTGTTTTTAACCAAACTGTAAAGCACTTTGTGTTGCATCTTTTGTATGAAAAGCGCTTTATAAATAAAATTTGATGGATTGATTGACAGTGTGACCGATGTGGGCAGAGTGACGAGCAGTGTGACAAGACTGACCGGAGTGACCAGTTTGACCAGAGTGAGCAGAGTAAGCAGAGCCACCAGTGTGAGCAGAGCGACCAGGGTGACCAGTGTGAGCAGAGCGACCAGGGTGACCAGAGTGAGCAGAGTAAGCAGAGCCACCAGTGTGAGCAGTGCGACCAGGGTGACCAGTGTGAGCAGAGCAACCAGAGCGACCAGAGAGTGAGCAGAGCAGCTGACCTGTAGCACGTGTGCGTCCGGTGTGAGGCGGTCGAACAGCAGACACACCACCCTCATGTCTCTGCAGAACAGCAGCAGCTCCTCGGGGGTGAACTTCAGGCTGGACGAGGCCGACACCTGCTTTGTCCTGTTTGGACCCACTGCAGGAGACACAGCTGCTTTAGAGGAGGCCTACCATAGGAGGCTTTATGGTGCATTCAGACAGCAAACGCTCAAGCGCTGAAGCCCCGCTCACCAGACAGTTTTCAGACGCAGGGGTCTTCACACCAGAACGTCCTGACGCGAGCCGGAAGTACCGGAAGTAGCCGGCCGGCTCTAATGCTAACAGAGCTATGCTAGCGGCTTCTTGTGTACAGATCTTCTCCAATATGCAGCTTTGCAGCGTGTCTTTGCCCAGAGACTTTCCACGAGCTTTATATAACAGTAGTATGTGTTCACGGAGGTGCGCCCTACGTTTTTGGTATTATTAAACGGTATTTCCGCATCGGTGAACACACTCGAAGCAGTTGCATAAGGTCACGGGAGCATGACAACGCATATTTTCACAAGCACACAGTCCCCCATTGTCAACCCTGGTTTGAGTTCTGGTGAAGCCTGGTGTGGGTCCTGTTTTGGCTGTTTACAGTATTTTCAGTCTGCTCGCTCAGTCCGCTAATGTCCCCGTGACCACTTTGCTGCTCTCTGATTGGTTGTCGCACGAACATCCCAAGGAAAGGATGAGCAGAATCCATCTCCTGTGGGCGTCGAGTTTTTGCTCCTGCTCCTCCCCTTTGACTTTCCCGCCAAGTCCGTGTGTGTCTACTGAACCAATGGTGCTTTCAGACCGGATCATGCGTTGCGTCGGGTTTCAATGCAAAGTCTATGGTGACGCGCGTTCGACCGTCACAACGCACGGACCTCTCGGCACGCACGAACGGACTGTTAAATAATGACGCACGGACTTGGCGGGAACGTGAAAGGGGAGGGGCAGGAGTGATAAATTGACGCCCACAGGAGATGGATTCTGCTCATCCTTTCCTTGGGACGTTCGTGCGACAACCAATCAGAGAGCCGCAAAGTGGTCACGGGGACATGAGCGGACTGAGCAAGCAGACTGAAAATACTGTAAACAGCCAAAACAGGACCCACACCAGGCTTCACCAGAACTCAAACCAGGGTTGACAATGGGGGACTCTGTGCTTGTGAAAATATGCGTTGTCATGCTCCCGTGACCTTATGCAACGGCTTTGAGTGTGTTTGCCGATGCGGAAATACCGTTTAATAATATGAAAAAACGTATGGCGCACCTCCGTGAACACATACTGCTGTTATATAAAGCTCGTGGAAAGTCTCTGGGCAAAGACACGCTGCAAAGCTGCATATTGGAGAAGATCTGTACACAAGAAGCCGCTAGCATAGCTCTGTTAGCATTAGAGCCGGCCGGCTACTTCCGGTACTTCCGGCTCGCTAGATGTAAATGGGACTACAGATTAAAGAGTAGCACATGAGCACTAAACATGTATGAATTATTATTCCTCGCTTTGTTAAAATTAAATATTATTTTTCAATAATCTGTTTAAAAATGTATGAGGTATGTTGTTCAGGTGATCAGCTCAAAGAGGAGGTGCAGGAGGAGGTGCAGGAGGAGACTTACCAACCACCACTTTCTCGATGGCAGCCAGAGCCACGTCATGGTCCCCGAGCAGCACCGGGTCTGCGTTGTCCTGGAACACATCTCTGAAGGTTAGAGCTCAGAAACTGCTTTGTAAACACAGAACAAACATGTGGACGTGTTTGGAATCGTGCTCACGTCAGAGAACAGGCTAAACTATGAACTATCAGATAAAAGAGAAATGCCTTCAGAGTTTGGATGCACTGACACCGATACCACGGTACTGACCATTGTTTCTGATCCAGAACAAAATTAGGAAAATGAGTTGAATCCGGTGTTGGTCATGTGACATGGATAACGCTGTTAGCTTGAATGCGTCATTAGCTGAATATAATAAGACTATTTACCACAACGTCATAAATTTACTCAGAGTTACTAGTTACTTACTTGCAGGATAAACATCAGTAATTGGATGATTATCAAGTCATCATTAAAGGGCTCTAATCTGTCAAAAGGCAGTAATAAACCTGCTCTTTTACAATACTTCTTTAACTGATAACAGTAGTTCAGCCAAAATATCAAAATTTGTTTTACTGCCCCTAAATCTTGTTATTGTTTTCATTTTGATGTCCCGCCCTCCACCGTTTCACCAATCAGAAAGTCCGTGATCCGGGTTGCCAGAACTCACCGCGTCGAGCTAATCTCACTGGAAAAATATCCGCAGGAATAAAAAAGGTCTCCTTATGATTCTCAAATCATTAACAACAAAACAAAATAATACGAGGTTTTCTATTGGGGCCTTTGTGAAAAAGTCTTAGTTATAGATTTGTTGTTGACAAAACTCTTGTCTAGTCAGTTATCTGGATTTGTGTGCATATCTGGCAACCTCAGTCAGGGAGAGTTGGAGAAATTGCAGTACCACTTTTGGCCAGATTTTTACATACTGCACCTTTAAGTGGAAGTTTACTATTTTCAGTCCCTTCATTAAAATCTGTACATATTGGATATCAGCAAATATTGAAGATCAAAGCATCAGGATCAATATCGGACAAACAAAAGCTGCATCGGTGCATCCCTAAAAGATCCATTTTGTTTTTGGTGTTTCCAGGACAGCTGAAGGACCAGCTTTGGTACGAACTGGATGTGACAGAAGAGGTTTACTTCAAACCAGTGACTGGTTGTCAAAAGTCTAGAACAATCATTTCAAACTGATGATTGTTAAAAATGTATTTCAAATGATTAAACCTGAACTGATGTGTGCTGCAGGAGGCTGAGGTCTCACCAGCTGCTCAGGAGTGTCCTGGGGCACAAAGGCCACTCTGAAGTGGGTACAGAACAGGGTCCCAGACAGCCAGCCCCGGCCCTCTCTAGACGTCAGCTTCTTCCTCACCATGGGCACCCTCTGCAGGACACACTCTCCTGGACACAAGGGACCATTGATGTTATCTACTGTGAGCAAAACACTGATCTATCTATCTGTCTATCTATTTATATATCAGTCTATCTATCTATCTATCTGTCTATCCATTTATATATCAGTCTATCTATCTATCTATCTATCTGTCGATCCATTTATATATCAGTCTATCTATCTATCTGTCTATCTATTTATATATCAGTCTATCTATCTGTCTATCTATCTATCTATCTATCTGTCTATATATCCTCTATCTGTCTATCTATTATCTATCTATCTATCTATGTATATATCTATCATCCATCAACAATCATCTATCTATCAATCTAATCAGAATCGGAATCATTTTTACTGCCATGTAAGTAACAGGACGTCACAGACTAGGAGATTTCTTTGGCTGTGGCTATAATTTATCTACCTATGTACAGTGCCTTGCGAAAGTATTCGGCCCCCTTGAACCTTTCAACATTTCGCCACATTTCAGGCTTCAAACATAAAAATATAAAAATTAGATTTTTTGTCAAGAATCAACAACAAGTGGGACACAATCGTGAAGTGGAAAAAAAAATTATTGGATAATTTAAACTTTTTTAACAAATAAAAAACTGAAAAGTGGGGCGTGCAATATTATTCGGCCCCTTTGCGCTAATACTTTGTAGCGCCACCTTTTGCTGCAATTACAGCTGCAAGTCGCTTGGGGTATGTCTCGATCAGCTTTGCACATCGAGAGACTGGAATTCTTGCCCATTCTTCCTTGCGAAACAGCTCGAGCTCAGTGAGGTTGGATGGAGAGCGTTTGTGAACAGCAGTCTTCAGCTCTTTCCACAGATTCTCGATTGGATTCAGGTCTGGACTTTGACTTGGCCATTCTAACACCTGGATACGTCTATTTGTGAACCATTCCATTGTAGATTTGGCTTTATGTTTTGGATCATTGTCCTGTTGGAAGATAAATCTCCGTCCCAGTCTCAGGTCTTTTGCAGACTCCAACAGGTTTTCTTCCAGAATGGTCCTTTATTTGGCTCCTTCCATCTTCCCATCAATTTTAGCCATCTCTCCTGTCCCTGCTGAAGAAAAGCAGGCCCAAAGCATGATGCTGCCACCACCATGTTTGACAGTGGGGATGGTGTGTTCAGGGTGATGAGCTGTGTTGCTTTTACGCCAAACATATCGTTTTGCATTGTGGCCAAAAAGTTTGATTTTGGTTTCATCTGACCAGAGCACCTTCTTCCACATGTTTGGTGTGTCTCCCAGGTGGCTTGTGGCAAACATTAAACAAGACTTTTTATGGATATCTTTGAGAAATGGCTTTCTTCTTGCCACTCTTCCAAAAAGGCCAGATTTGTGCAGTGCACGACTGATTGTTGTCCTATGGACAGACTCCCACCTCAGCTGTAGTTATCTGCAGTTCATCCAGAGTGATCATGGGCCTCTTGGCTGCATCTCTGATCAGTCTTCTCCTTGTTTGAGATGAAAGTTTGGAGGGACGGCCGGGTCTTGGTAGATTTGCAGTGGTCTGATACTCCTTCCATTTCAATATAATTGCTTGCACAGTGCTCCTTGAGATGTTTAAAGCGTGGGAAATCTTTTTGTATCCAAATCCGGCTTTAAACTTCTCCACAACAGTCTCTCGGACCTGCCTGGTGTGTTCCTTTATCTTCATGGTTCTCTCTGCGCTTTAAACAGAACCCTGAGACTATCAAAGAGCAGGTGCATTTATACGGAGACTTGATTACACACAGGTGCATTCTATTTATCATCATCAGTCATTTAGGACAACATTGGATCATTCAAAGATCCTCACTGAACTTCTGGACTGAGTTTGCTGTACTGAAAGTAAAGGGGCCGAATAATATTGCACGCCCCACTTTTCAGTTTTTTATTTGTTAAAAAAGTTTAAATTATCCAATAAATTTTGTTCCACTTCACGATTGTGTCCCACTTGTTGTTGATTCATGACAAAAAAATTTAATTTTATATCTTTATGTTTGAAGCCTGAAATGTGGCGAAATGTGGAAAGGTTCAATGGGGCCGAATACTTTCGCAAGTATGTATCTGTGCATCTGATCACAATGCACCAACTATCAACCCTAACCTTCACACATAAACCGTAACGCGAGCAGCGTCTGCAGTCAGAGCTGTATCAGACCGTCATGGTAAAGACAGAGCTCAGCTGAAAGGCAAAGCTCTCGATTTACTGGTTGATCTTGGTTCCCTCGCTCACCTCTGGTCATGATCTTTTGGTAATGACCGAAAAGACGAGATCGCGGATACAAGCGTCACAATGAGCTTCCTATGTGGACTGGCTGCTCCCTTTGACATAGAGGAGCTCAGTCACATGGGAGGAGCTCGAAGTAGAGCTGCTGCTTCTACACTTGGAGAGGAGCCAGTTGAGGTGGCTTGTTTGGGATGCCTCCTCACCCTCCTGTGGTGATGGGGGAAGAAATGATAAAAGACAAAAACCCTTCAGCACCAGGAGTGCTCCGAGGTCAGTGTGGGTCCTGACCATAGACTGTATATATTAATGGACAGAGTCACGCCTCTCTCCGCCGTTCTAACTAATGGGCCAAAAAATTTGCTCTACTGGAGCAATCCAAAATGGCCGCGAATGGTCCCGCCCACAAGAAAATTGTGAAAAAACGCATCTGCGTATACGTCAGCCGGCGCAGCTCCATTCATTTGAACGAGAGACTTCAAAAATTCACAGCGAATAAACTAGAGTGGACCAAAAAAATTCACCCCCCTCAGCATTGACACACATGTGGAACGGAGCTTTGGGCCAAGAGCCAACTTTTGGTCCATCCGACGTTTTCGAGAGGTCTGCTAACGCTATATGTTAGCATTGGCTAATTCTTCTTCTGTGTCCACCCCCATCGGCCCGGGGTGGTATTGCAGCATGTCAGCGCACGTCATTTTGGCCACTTTTGAGCTGGGACCCTCCCCCACTGGTCCTGACCTGCACCTGCTGTTACTGTACCTGATGAGTTTGTGTAAGCCCTCAGTAGTACAGGGATTTGTCAAAGCAAAGGAAGGTTTCTCACCCATCATCTGTACTTCTTAGCAGGTTTTCCCGACGTTTCGTCCTCAATCCAAAGGACTTCTTCAGGGAAATCCCAGCATACAATAGGTCTGTGACATGCTAATGAGTTAGGGTCGTTAGACCTGCTCCCTTCTACATCAAACAGACCTTAGATTGTTTATGAGTTATCATCAGGATTAGGGTGTGGCTAACCACACCCATAGGTTATAAATCTCCAACGCGCGGTCTGAGAATTCATTCCCTGAAGAAGTCCTTTGGATTGAGGACGAAACGTTGGGAAAACCTGCAAAGAAGTACAGATGATGGGTGAGAAACCTTCCTTTGCTCTGTACCTGCTGAGGTTTCTGTCAGAGCATATTCAGCACAGAGCGTCCTGAAGCAGGCCTGGACCTGGGCCTGGCCTGAGTGAAGCTTGAACATTGTTGGGACATGGTTAAAGAGAGTGTTTCTGAGCTGATTCTCCAACAGCAGCTGGACTGGAGCCAACAGGCTCTGGAGGAGGAGGCGGAGGTGCAGACAAACATCACAGACCAGCAGCGTTGTCATGGTAACTGCCTACGCACTGCTAACATTAGCACATCCACAGCTCATCACATCCAAGAGCTTTGCCCTGTGGTTCCCAATCTGTGGGCTGTGCTCAGCGTGGGAAGTGAGGCAGTGCATTTAGAGGTAGTTATACTTTATTACCCCACAGAGAAATGTGTCTTCTGATTTTAACCCTTGCTTCATTTTCACTTTACTGGAAATATGTAAGAAAACTCACTGACAAACCATGTATAGTTACTCATCACAACAACATCACAAGCTTGTTAGGTTCACTTGTGAGTGTGTGTTTTTTTTCCGCTGGTATCATGTTATTTCATGATACTTTCATGAAATAACATGATAAATATCATGTTATTTCATGATACACAACTATCATGTTATTTCATGAAACACAACTATCATGTTATTTCCTGATACCAATGTATCATGTTATTTCATGATACCAATGTATCATGTTATTTCATGATACACAACTATCATCAATCAATCAATCAAAGTGTATTTATAAAGCGCTTTTCATACAACAGATGCAACACAAAGTGCTTTACAGTTTGGCTAAAAAACAATCCTGCCCATGCCCTCCCCCCGACCGCCCAACAGACCCCCCCCCCCCCCCCAGCCAAAGGGGACGACACAGGACCCAGAGGAGACCCAAAACCGAGGCCCCGGGCCCCCACCAGGTCCAAGAGTCCGACCCCCACAGCCACAGCCAACCCCAGCTCCCAGCGCAGAGGGCTCCTCCAGAGGAAACACTGGGGATACTAAAAACGATACAATAAGTAAAACACTAAAATGTGAGCCTGAAAGGAACTATCACACAAAACATGAATAAAAGCAATAGCAATATAATAAATAATAAAAAATAAATAGAATATATAAAAATGGACTAATAAATACTAATCAAAAGCTATTCTAAAAAGGTGTGTCGTGAGCCTGGCTTTAAAATTATGAATGTTCTCTGCGACCCTGAGCTCCTCCGGCAGACTGTTCCAGAGACGGGGGCCGTAGTGCTGGAAAGACGCCTCACCGTGAGTGTGTGTCCTGACTTTTGGAATGGTTAAGAGTCTGCTGCCGGAGGAGCGCAGGGGCCGGGAGGGTTCATAGGATAAAAGCAGTTCTGAAAGATAAGAAGGCCCAAGACCATTAAGACATTTGAAAACCATTAGGAGAACCTTAAAATCAATCCTGAAACACACGGGGAGCCAATGCAGCGATTTTAAAACCGGTGTAATGTGGTCCCGCCCCCTGGTCTTAGTCAGGACACGTGCTGCTGAGTTTTGGAGTAATTGAAGACTTGCAATGTTCTTTTTGGAAAGACCAGAGAGCAGGGCATTACAGTAGTCAATGCGACTGGTGATAAAAGCATGCATCAGTGTCTCCGTGTTGCCCCGAGAGAGAATGGGGCGGACTCTGGCGATGTTCTTCAAATGATAAAAACCTATTTTTGTGATGTTCTTGATAATGAATAAAAGTCAGCTCAGAATCAAAAATTACGCCCAGGTTTTTCACATGTGGTGATGGATTAAAAGAGTGTGATTGGAGTTTTGGTAAAAGTTTCTCTCTCTGGGCCTCAGGACCGATGACTAAAACCTCAGTTTTGTCCTGGTTGAGCTGGAGAAAGTTTTCTGCCATCCAGGATTTCAGGTCTAAAATGCAGTTAAAAAGAGCATCCATTGGCCTGGTGTCGTCAGGAGACATGGAGATGTACAGCTGTGTATCATCTGCATAACTGTGGAAGTCAATTCCATGCCTCCTGATGACACCGCCAAGAGGGAGCATGTACAAGTTAAAAAGGACTGGACCTAAAATGGAACCCTGGGGCACACCACATGTGATTTTATGGACCTGAGAGGAGCAGGTATCCAAACTTACCATGAAGGATCTGTCTGTTAAATAAGAAGTGAACCATTTGTAGACCGCACCAGAGAGGCCAAGGTGGTTCAGGCGGGATAAAAGAATGGTGTGGTCTACTGTATCAAAGGCAGCGCTTAGATCCAGTAGAACCAACACAGTCACCTTTTTAGAATCATAATTTAATCTAAAATCATTTAAAATCTTTAAAAGAGCCGTCTCTGTGCTGTGGTTCACCCTAAATCCTGATTGAAATGTCTCTAAAATTTGCTGTTGATCTAAAAAAACAAGATCAAGTTTTTCTAAAATTTTGCTTAAAAATGGTAAGTTGGACACCGGTCTGTAGTTGTTAAGATCATTAAAATCTAAATTGCTCTTCTTCAGAAGGGGTCTCACCACAGCCGCTTTGAAGGCTGCAGGAAAGACCCCAGTCTGAAGAGAGCAATTCATGTTATTTCATGATACGCAACTATCATGTTATTTCATGATACCAATTTATCAGAAGCTGACAGCTTCTTCTTCTTCTGTATCTACAGTATCATGTTATTTCATGATAAACTGGTATCATGAAATTTCATGATAAATTGGTAACATGAAATAACATGATAGTTGTGTATCATGAAATAACATGTTATTTATCATGTTATTTCATGAGAGTAAAATCATAAAATAACATCATACCAGCGGAAAAAAACACACTCACAAGTGAACCTAACAAGCTTCCGTATGAAATAATCCAACTAACACTGATACTTATTTCAAATCAATGGAATAAACTATGTTCGTTTATTGAGCTTCAAACTGAACTGAACCAGTTATTTGTGCGACACAAAAAACACCTGTGTATCAAGACTCAGACTGTAGTAAGAGTAGTTTACACAGTCGTAAAGGTGTGAAATGCACCAAGTTTAGGAACGTTCATCTGCTCTTTTCATTATGGATCTGCATTAAACCTCTGGGGTTAAAGGCACATATATATATATATATATATATATATTCATCTCAGTATATTCTTACTGGGATGATCCTGTCAAAAACAGCACAGCTGCCACCAGGGGGCCCAGTAACCCACATAAAAAGGCACATAATGTGTCTGAAGACGCGTTATCTTCTTGTGTGAGAAAAACAAAACAGTCTGCAGTGACCACAGCCTCCTGTCTTTGTGCTGCAGTACCTCCTGTCGACAGCAGAGGGCGCCAGTGGGTCGGCTGGTGAACAGGTCGGTCTGAGGTCAGGGTTCTGAGACAGCTCCATGCAACTTTCATGTCCCGCTCGGTTTCACTCTCTCTGCTTTGCTCTCAGTGTGACAGGCTCCAAACATATTCACAATAAGCCAAAAAGATGAAATATGTAGAAAATAAAGTTTCCCAAAGGCACTTTAAGGTAAAGTCGACAGAGCGCGTCCACCAGAGCTGAGGATATTATCAACAGGTGAAATGGCAGTTTTTTCTGACACACAGGCACAATGTAAGATAAGAGAGAAACCTTCCCTCATTGTGGACCTCCCTGAGGTTTCTCCTTTTCTCCCACTGTGTTTTCAGTCTCTAAAGACAGAGATGATCCACTTCACATTTATGAACACTGGTCTCTGCTCCTCATGGACCAATGTCTCTGTGTTTGAACTGTTGATTCTCTGATCTGTGTTGGAGAATCGACAGCTTTGTAAAGTCCTCTGAGATACTACTGTTGTGATTTAGCGCGATACACAAATACATTTATTTGAATTGAATTAGGATTAAGATGCAACAGTTTAAAGTTATTGTTTAGAAAGAATCACTGGCTTCAGGAGGGGTCACTGCAGGGTTACAGTCTGTGGTTACAGGGGTTAAAGACCTGTCAATCACAGTGTGAGGGGGCACGGCTACACTGTCCTGGGGGCTTGCGTTTCCCTGGATACGCCTGCTGTGTTTACCATCACCTGTCTCCAGATTCTACTTCATGTAACAATGCACTCCAAACACAGTGGAGATAAACTACAACTGTAGCCACAGCTGCCCTGGGGCACACTGACAGTAGTGAGGCAGGACACCAGTCTGTGCCATCGGCCACAAATACTGTTGTGTGTTTATGACGGAGCCAGTCTGCTCCACTCCACCCTCAGGACGTTTATGAATGAAGTTAAACAAACACTAAATCACTCACACTGGGCTTTTATAATACACATTAGACATTAGAGTCACAGGGATCACTGGGATCACAGAATCACAGGGATCACAGGGTCGCAGGGATCACAGAGTCACAGGGATCACAGGGATCACAGAGTCACAGGGATCACAGGGTCACAGAGTCACAGGGATCACAGGGTCACAGGGATCACAGGGATCACAGGGATCACGGGGATCACAGAGTCACAGGGATCACAGGGTCACAGGGATCACAGGGTCACAGGGATCACGGGGATCACAGGCTCAGAGGGTCACAGGGATCACAGAGTCACAGGGATCACAGGGTCGCAGGGATCACAGGGATCACAGGGGGTCACAGGGATCACAGGGATCACAGGGATAACAGGGATAACAGGGTCACCGGGATCACAGGGATCACAGGCTAACAGGGATCACAGTGTCACAGGGATCACAGGGATAACAGGGTCACCGGGATCACAGGGCCATAGAGATCACAGGGATCAAATGGATCAATGGGATCAATGGGACCAAAGGGATCATAGAGATCACAGGGTCAGAGGGACACAGGGATAACAGGATCACAGGGTCACAGGGATCACAGAGTCACAGGGATCACAGAGGGTCACAGGGATCACAGGGATCACAGAGTCACAGGGATCACAGGGATCACAGGGTCGCAGGGATCACAGAGTCACAGGGATCACAGGGTCGCAGGGATCACAGAGTCACAGGGATCACAGGGTCACAGGGATCACAGGGTCACAGGGATCACAGGGATCACGGGGATCACAGAGTCACAGGGATCACAGGGTCACAGGGATCACAGGCTCAGAGGGTCACAGGGATCACAGAGTCACAGGGATCACAGGGTCGCAGGGATCACAGAGTCACAGGGATCACAGAGTCACAGGGATCACAGAGGGTCACAGGGATAACAGGGATAACAGGGTCACCGGGATCACAGGCTCACAGGATCACAGGGATCACAGAGTCACAGGGATCACAGGGTCACCGGGATCACAGGGCCATAGAGATCACAGGGATCAAATGGATCAATGGGACCAAAGGGATCATAGAGATCACAGGGATCACAGGGTCACAGGGACACAGGGATAACAGGATCACAGGGTCAGACCTGGCAGACAGCGCAGTCCCAGGATGTCTCTGCTCCTGGCGCTGGCTCCGCTCTGACTCAGCATTCTCTCCTGAAACACAAGAAGAGAAACACAGGTGTGAAAAGACATATTTATTTTTGTAGCACGAGACACAGACCAGGGTCTCACACAGACCGGGGTCTCAAACAGACCAGGGTCTCACGCAGCACCTGGAGCATCCCACACTCACTCAGTACAATTAGAATTATTGGTGGGGGAAACCGGAGCACCCGGAGGAAACCTACACAGAGAGCACATGCAAACTCCACTCCCAGGGCAGGTGTCCCGGGAGGAGGCCCCAGAGACGACCCAGGACACACAGGGACAGACCCAAGACAAGGAGGGACAGACCCAGGACACACAGGGACAGACCCAGGACACACAGGGACAGACCCAGGACACACCGGGACAGACCCAGGACACACAGGGACAGACCCAGGACACACAGGGACAGACCCAGGACACACAGGGACAGACCCAGGACACACAGGGACAGACCCAGGACACACAGGGACAGACCCAGGACACAGAGGGACAGACCCAGGACACAGAGGGACAGACCCAGGACACAGAGGGACAGACCCAGGACACACAGGGACAGACCCAGGACACAAAGGGATCTCAGGCTGAACTTAGGTTGTATTTTGTAAATGTGGGTGTCTTTTATCAGGTTAGATTTGGATTCCTGTTTTTTTGGATCTTTCATCTGAATCTGTGACATGTTAGTGCCATATGAACCAGGGAGCACAGGGACTGGCCTCCTGCTGGGACTCTGAGGAGCATAGGGACAGTTCTGTTTCTCTCTGCAGACAACTGAAGGATTTTATCTTTACTCTTTTTAATGTACTGTGCTAGTTTGTGATGTCACTGCCTTGTGTGATGCCCGTTTTATTGAAGGTTGTCGCTGAGAATCATGTATAAAACAAACGACAGCACTCTTGTAAAACTGTGTGTGTGTGTGTATGTGTGTATGTGTGTGCCTGTGTGTGCGTGTGCAGAGACATATGGAAACACTTATGGGACGCACCCACCAGTGTGTGTGTGTGTGAGACTGTGTGAGTAACACAGTAACCCGCTGAAGATTTTTATGTCAAGTCATAAAAGGGCCCTTTAATGTCAAAAGGCAAAAATCATCGCGTGGAGCTAATCTCACTGGTAAAGTACCATGTGGCGCAGAACTAAAAAATGTCTCGTTATGATTCTCAAATCATTACAAAACAAGGAATAAAACCAGGATTTCTATCTTTGTGAAAAAGGTGTTGGTTAAAGATTTGTTGTTGACAAAACTCTTGTCTATTCAGATATTATGGTCCCAGCTGGATTCATCTGCATATCTGGCAACCTGAGTCAGGGAGAGTGGGAGAGGACTACCTTCTGGCCATATTTGTAGATTTTGCTCCTTTAATACATACTCATCACTATGTATCAACTTTGAATCATGTGGAAACTGTTGTATGTATCCAGTTGGTGAGACCTATTCTGTGCATAAATCCTTACATTAAACCATTTCTCTGACTTCACTCGTACCTTCAGAACTATTGTACATGTTTTAGCCATATACTGTAAATATTAACAGATGTAGTCACGCCTGTCTCCGCCGCTCAAACTAACGTGCCACCACTTTTTCCTTTTGTGGACTTTTTCAAAATGGCCGCTGGGGCAGGAAAATGTGGGAAAAAAATCACATTAAGAGGCTTAACTTAACTTAAGACTGGTCCCAAAAAAAATAAAAATAAAACTCCCCTCAGCATCAACACACATCTGGACCTAGAGCGACGTTTGAATCATTCTGTATTCGCTCCTGATGACACTTGTACTGATTTGAAGCTGTTTTTGTTGATCGGTTTCATGGTGTTTCTGTACTTTTTATCTCGACTCTTGCACATTTATTCCAATGTGGTTTTACTGCAGATGGCATGGAAGCTGAATGTGAGTCTGCTGAATGGCCGTGTGCGTACAGAAGCTCCACATGTGTGCGGCGTCAGCACATCGCTCCAGACTGTTATTCTGGCTTTGTGTGTTCAGGCCAGAAATCACAGAGAACACAGAGAACACAGAGGCCTTTGACAGAGAGGGCTCCACCTGGACACACACACACACACACACACACACACACACACACAGACACACAGACAGACACACGCAGACACACACACACACACACACATAGACACAAAAACACAGTCACACACACACACAGAGATGAACACAGACACAAAAACACAGGCGCACACACACACACACACACACACACACAGACAGACACGCAGACACACACACACACAAACATAGACACAAAAACACAGTCACACACACAGACACACACGCACACAAACATAGACACAAAAACACAGTCACACACACACACACACAAACACAAAAACACAGTCACACACACATACACAGACGGACACACGCACACGCGCACACACACACACTTGCGCAGACATCCACACACACAGAGATGAACACAGACACAAAAACACAGGCGCACACACATACACAGACGGACACACACACACAGACGTGAACACAGACAAAAAAACACAGTCACACACACGGACAAACACACACACACACATACACAGACAGACACACACACAGACAAACCCACACACAGACACACACAGACACAGGTTTCGTTTCCCTTTCACACACTGCGGCCTGTTATTTATAGCTGTGTTTACAGAGAGACTCTAGTGTAGAAGCAGATGTTGCAATGAAGATATAAACAGAGACTTGTGTTGTATGCATGCAACACAAGCGAAGGGGGTGAGAGAGAGAGAGGGGGGGGGGGGGGCTGAGGGCGGACCACAATGCCTCTGACATTCCTCCCTCGCCCTGTTCTCACCGCTGAGGCCAGAGGTTCACACTTTACTCACACTTTGTCCAACTGTGGGACCATGACCATCAGCAGCTTGTGTAATAACAACACTAATAACACACAACAGAGCATACATCACCACATTCATTCATTCATACATTTTCTACCCCTTTTTAAAAATCCATGTCTGGGTCGGGGGGGTAGGAATCAGAGTTGCACCCAATGCTCATAGCACCAGATGTGGATCGAGGCCCAAGGAGCAGTTGGAGTAGGTCTGGTGGGGGGATCGAACCTACGACCTTCAGGCCCAAAGACTCATACCAACTAAGCCACTGTCAATGATCCATATTTTAGGCAGGCAGGAGGAGGCCACCTGGGAGGTCCTCATGTAAAAGTGTGCTCAGGATGAGGTTGTGTGGTGACGCTGTTCCTCTTGTGTTACCGACAAACAACAATTAAAGAGAAGGAAAATGATCTCAACTCATATTTATCCGACCACACGAGCTACAACCAAACAGTCCATTCCAACACCACAAGCCAGAGTTCTGCCCTGACAAGGAGGATGGATGGATAGATAGATAGATAGATAATAGATATATGATAGATAGATAATAGAGGTGGAGCCACTTGGTTTGGACCATTTTTTCTGCTCTGGCCTAAAGTAAAATGCTGAATGCTCAAGCCCCGGTGATCCAAGATGGCGCCCTTTTTACACTAAATGAATGGCTTGTGCTCAGTAGAGCATGGGACTTCACGGGGGCCGAACGATTAGAGGAACTCGCTTGTATTTGGGCATCGTCTGGTCCTCCCGGTTCTGCGCAGTGGACGAGCTCCCATGATGCTTTGCGCCAAATACGCGTGTGCGGCTCTCATGCACGTGCACAGAGGGGCTCGACCGCGCTCTGACCAATCAGAGCAGCAGCAGAGCGGAGTCAGAGCGGGAAGGAAACGAGCAGAGTTTGTGGCAGTAAAGTGTGGATTTAAAGAAAAAAAGTTCAGGATGACAAGGGACACTAAAATCCCCACAAAATCCAATCTTTATGAAAGCTGTAGGTTCTCTGTCAGCTGAGGTCAAGCTGTTTTAGTTTAAATTGAGATCTATGGGACTTTTTTCTGGGTAGCCCTTGTGAATTTAGTTTGCAGTACCACGGGCGCCCCCTGTGCCCATAGGTGGGACCGCTATAAGCTAGTAATACCCTTATCCAGTTATTATTATAGATCCATGTGAATGCTTTGTTATCATTTTTCTAAAAGTTAGCATTCCTCCAGTGGATATCTGCTGGATCTGCTTGTTTTGGACCATGAATCCTCTCTGCTCTGGTCTGGACCAGTGCAAAACCATGAACTCTGTACTGCGGCAACATCTCAGGTAGAAACAAAGCAAGAAAAATAACATTTGTAAAGCACAAAAAACAAGTTTAAGAGTGACTCAGGACTTGCTGCCGTTTCCAGCTCATACAAAAGTAAACCACAAAAGTTTAGATCCAACTGGGCCCAAATACACTCCCCTCCTGCACAGCCCACAGCCCAAACAAAGTATTTATGATGCTGATGATGTCACTGTCTCTGTCCTAATGTTTGCAGTTTTCCTACTGTTCACAAAGTGCAGAAGGTGTTGAGTTATTTAAAGTTTTCGATGACATCACTTTCCCACTCCTTCGTGTCTTTCTCTAAAACGACACAGACACAGGTCCATGGTTCTCTGAGTCTCATGCTCCAAACAGAGCAGAGCTTTCCACAGCAGGCCTCACCACAGCTCCATGTTTGGCACATTCTGGGAGAGTCATGTGACCGCAGGAGGCTCTCCCATTGGCTGCTGGACACGATGACAGGCTGTGGTCAGAATGTGTCACAGTCATCAACAAACAGGAGGAAAACAAACGACCAGGAGCGTTCTGACCACTCTCAGATGTCAACGTTTTTCATTTAAGATTCAAGAATTTATTTGCCATTTGCAGTAAAACCACATTGGAAAAACTGCAAGACTACCCCAGTGTGCACCAGACAGAGCTGACGAAGTAGATCTAAACGGTTTGGTTCATGTCCGTTATCAAACATCTGACATTTATTTACATCCAGGCTCTGAATGCGAGAATCTCCCTAAAACAGTGCGCACAGCGTCCTCACGAATGGTTTTGATAAATCATGAATCTACGGAAATGAAAGTGGCAAAATGTAAGATTTTTGGGTGACGTCATCATTAAAGGGCCCTAATCAGTCAAAAGGCATTGATAAACCATGGTCTTTTCAAATACTTCTTTAGCTGATAACAGTAGTTCAGAGATATTTGAATTTTAAAAATAGTTTTACAGCCCTAAATCTTGTTATTGTTTTCATTTTGAGGTTTCACCAATCAGAAAGTTTGTAATCCGGGTTGCCAGAACTCACTGCGCTGAGCTAATCTCACTGGTTCTATCTCTGTGAAAAAGGTGTTGGTTATAGATTTGTTGTTGACAAAACTATTGTCTATTCAGCTGTTATGGTCCCAGCTGGATTCATCTGCATATCTGGCAACCTCAGTCAGGGAGAGTGGGAGAGGCTGCAGTACCACTTTTGGCCAGATTTTTACATACTGCGCCTTTAACTAAACCATCTGCTGCATTCAGACAGTTCATGAGCTTCTGACACTGAACTTCTATCATCCACTTGTAATTTCACCTGTGACATCATTAAGGGTGAGATATACTTAAAGCAGTGCGTCTCAAGGCAAAACAGGAGCCCTGGTTTAATGAAACTAGTCATGAGGCGAGACCATAGACTGTAAAAGTTAACTCACGCACTTTTGGCTTCTGTGGGCTTTTTTAAAATGGCCGCGGGGCAGAAAAATGGGAAAAAACACATTTGCGCATGCATTAGCCAACACTAGCCTCATCCATTTAACGAGTGCCTTCTGAAGTCCACAGCGGCTAAACTAGACTGGTCCAAAAAATACACACTCCCCTCAGCATTGACAGCATCAGGAACGTAGCGTTGGGCCTACAGCGACTTTTGGACCATCCTGTAAAGACGTTTTTGACCGGAAAGAAGACGCCATACAAAAGCATTGGTTAATTCTCATTCCGGGTACACCCCCACCGTCCCGGAGTGAGATTGCAGAATTTCAGCGCACATGCTCATGGACCTTTTGGAGCACAGGTGGAAATAGGAAGGATCACAGATATTTACCATATTTCCATGAATTATGACAAATCTCTCGTGGGTCGGCTTTAAACATTGTCCAAACTCACAAGCATCAAAGAGCGTACAATAATAATTTTCAAATGTTCTTCTGTGAAAAAGTTACCACCATCAAGACCATCAAAGAAACATCCGCCACCATGTCTGTCAAAGCTTTAAATTGAGATTGTTTTTGAACCAGTATCGCTCTCATTTCTTACTAGAATTGTCCATAACTTTAACCATCCACCAACCAAGTACCTAAAGTTGCAAAAACATACACAATCCATAGATAAATATTCATATATAATTGATAAAACTTAGCATTGTGTTAAGTATTCTACTACAAACTACCAAAAATATGTAATTTCCAACATTCACTCCCTGATACATTTTCTACAACGATGAAATGGCCTGAAATTGTGTTTTCTCCATAAAAACTACAAATTCCCACAACGCACCACAGAAGTTTCTGAGTTTATGGAAAATGGACAGGTCTGACTCACTGGCACAAGTCGCGGACATAGACTGTACACAGATGCTAACGTGCTAGCCTAATGAAACCCAACAGGGAAGTGCTCATAGACAAAGTTTTGCTCCAGCTCTCTCAGGCTTCTGGTAACTTCCATGAAAAAGTAAACTCCTCTCGCTCAATCCCCAATCGCTCTCTGTGATCCTGGGGTTTCTAATTTAATATTGTGTTTGTAAATCAGAGCATCTGACCAATCAGGAGCCAGAGGCGCTGCTCATGATTGGATAACATTTTCATTTGTTTGGCTCCACATTCCTGTTCTGTTTGAGCTATTGCTAATCAGCCTCAGTCCTGGATCTACAGCCTCAGTCCTGGGTCTACAGCCTCAGTCCTGGGTCTACAGCCTCAGTCCTGGGTCTACAGCCTCAGTCCTGGGTCTACAGCCTCAGTCCTGGGTCTACAGCCTCAGTCCTGGGTCTACAGCCTCAGTCCTGGATCTACAGCCTCAGTTCTGGATCTACAGCCTCAGTCCTGGGTCTACAGCCTCAGTCCTGGATCTACAGCCTCAGTCCTGGATCTACAGCCTCAGTCCTGGGTCTACAGCCTCAGTCCTCCTGGATCTACAGCCTCAGTCCTGGATCTACAGCCTCAGTCCTGGATCTACAGCCTCAGTCCTGGATCTACAGCCTCAGTCCTGGGTCTACAGCCTCAGTCCTGGGTCTACAGCCTCAGTCCTGGGTCTACAGCCTCAGTCCTGGATCTACAGCCTCAGTCCTGGGTCTACAGCCTCAGTCCTGGGTCTACAGCCTCAGTCCTGGGTCTACAGCCTCAGTCCTGGGTCTACAGCCTCAGTCCTGGGTCTACAGCCTCAGTCTGAGTTTCTGAGTGGTTCGTCTCTGATGCAGGATGGGCTAAGGACAGTGGTCGTCCCGCTCCCTATGGAACAATGGTCCAATCCTTGTTATTATTGTATATTATCAAGTCATACTGCTTGATTCTCTGATCTGTTGGTGAGGAATCAACAACTTTGTAAAGAGATTAATAACATGAGATATGAACTATTTTCATGCCCTGGACTCTGCTGCCTCTCCCAAAGAACCCTCATCACGGCTCTCATGGAACAAACACTAACATTGTGACGGATTTGAAGTGTTTTTCCATTGAATACAAAGGAGCGTTCACACATCGCTACGGCAACAAGGCAAAGAAACCTCAAGAAGGTGTGAAAAGGTTTTTACATGTTCCCATTCATACAGAATTAGGAGTTTCTGTCATTTCTACGACAACACGGTAAAGAATAAGTCATGGGCCTCAGTGACTCATTGATCTGAATCTGAAACACTGAATATTTAGCTAACTTTCACACATTTTGAAATAAAAAAAGTATTTTCTCCACATATTTAGGCTCAAAAGCACACAAATGATTTAAATTATGTGCAAATCAGTCTTTGTACGTCTAAACCCTCTTTAACAATAGCATTGTTGTGTACGTTACTCTATAATGTGAATATATGATATTACAAGTTACTGGGGATACTGTACTGCCGGGTCACAGAGGCAGCAGTCCAGAACACATCCACAGGGAGGAGACCAGGAGGCCTCCACATGGAGAGGAACCGCTCGTTCCTCTCCATGTGGAGGAGCAGCGGCTCTACAGAGAGCACCTCTCACCAAAGAGAAAAGAAACAACACTTGAGAGAACAGTGTAATGGTAAATAATGAGCACTAAAAACAACGGCTATTTCAAAAAGGACACTTTGAAAATAAAGTGTGAAAAGTGCACGCACACACCTACACACATTTAGACACACACACAAAGACACATACATACATATACACGCACACACACACACACACATATACAGACACACATACCAACATACACACACACACACACACACACACAACTATACAGCAAGCGCCTCCTCTTGTGGAGGTTCACAACACAACAACACAACGAGAGACTGAAGTCAAAGACACAAAGCCATGAGCTCTGGGGCGCCCCCTCCGGCGGATAGAGGCTACTGCTGTAATGTGCAGTCGTCCAGATGCAGCACACACGGAGCACACATGACTGTTCCAGCCTCAGGACTGTTCACCCTGAGCCCAGGCCGCCAGCCCCGGTCCCTGTCCCTGTCCCTGCCCCGGCTCCTCACCTTCAGCATGGGCTCCATCTGACGGACTTTGAACGTGTTCTTGGAGCCGCTCAGCATGGTGAGCCTCTCCGGTGACGCTCCTCTGTCTGCGGTGGATGATTCTGTTCCGTTAGCCGCGCTTCTACCGAGTCCAGGCGGCTGCACAGGGCTCCAGCTCCGCGCTCATGTCAGCGTGCGTGTGCGTGCGTGTGTCTGTGCGTGAGAGGGGGACATGTCCTCGCTGTGCGCGCTCCTGCGGCTCTGCTTCTGTTTCTCTGTCCCGCTCTGTGCCGCTCTGTCCTCTGCACAGCCTCAGCCCGAGTCTCGGCCGCAGCTCAGTCTCAGTCTGAGTCTGGAGGAGCTTCTTAAAGGGCAACACACACACACCCCTGTGCCAGAGCACCACATCTGCATCAGTGTGTCACATCAGTGTGTCACATCTGCATCAGTGTGTCACATCAGTGTGTCACATCTGCATCAGTGTGTCACATCAGTGTGTCACATCAGTGTGTCACATCTGCATCAGTGTGTCACATCTGCAAAACCCAGTGGGAGAAAAGTGGGAAATCTCAGGGAGATCCACATTGAGAGAGGGATCTGCTTAACCAAGGTTTTCATTGTGCGAAAGTCATCCATCCATTTTTTCCCCCCTTAATCCATTCCTGGGTCGGGGGGGTGGGTGGCAGTCAGAGCTGCACCAGTACACAGAGCACCAGCCCCTCACTGATCCTCCTGCAGGTGGTGAGTCCACAGGAGCTGAGATCTTTCAGGGGGGGCTTCAGGCAAAGTGGGATTGAGTGTCTTGCCCAAGGACACAACGACAGCAATCATCAGTGGGAGTTGTGAAGTATTTATTGTGGTGGGTTCAAACCCACGACCTTCAGGCTCAAAAGCCAATGCTCTAATTGAGCCACTGTGACCCATTAATAGCATAATAATGGAAAATCAAATGTCCCGTGGACAGTGTCCAGATCTGGGCTAGAGTAGGACGTGTCAACACTTTGAGGATTCAAGAGTGTTGTGATATTTGGGCCACAATTTAATAATTCTGTGATTCTTAACATATCGCGACACAGACAGTTTGTGATTTGATTCATGTCCCTCATATTATTCAAAGACTTTACAAACATGAAGGAAAATAAGACTCTTGTCTCTGATGTTTATTATGGTCTGGAGGAGGGAAGTGTAAAAACATACTGTGATGAAGGTATTTTCCTCTGAACTTTCTGTTTAATGAATGCACGAAAACAAAGCACCGCAACAAGCGCCACCGTGTGGATGTAACACGCACTCACACGGGCCGAGAAAACACAAACATAACTATTTAATCAAATACCGCAATACTCTACTGCATCCATATACCGCGGGCAAAATGTTGCGATACTGAACAGAATCGTTCCCGCCCAGTGCTCTGGACACAGCCTCTGGCACCGTGCCATAACCACAGACTGTATTGGCTAAACCTGCAGAGTGAAAACTACTTCAGACTCAATGAGGACCAGCTCCAGCTGCAGTGAAATAATGTGTCCCTCGTTTTATGTAAATGTTTCCATGTTGTCTTCTATTTTTTATGTTTACATACACATGTTTTAAACTTCATTTGTGTCAGTTAGTAGAGAGCGTTCATGAAAGTTTTAGTTTTTAACCCAATCACACAAAATTAAAAGCTGAAAAACAATTTATATAAAAGAAGAGGTCACAGAAGCTGACCTCCCTCTGCGGCCTCAGCAGCGGTGGCACAGTCCAGGATGGGCCGCCACGTCCTGGGCTCCTCCTCGCTCCTCAGGCTCCTCCTCAGTCTCCCTGGGTTCCTCCTCGCTCCTCAGGCTCCTCCTCAGTCTCCCTGGGTTTCTCCTCGCTCCTCGGTCTCCCTGGGTTCCTCCTCGCTCCTCGGTCTCCCTGGGTTCCTCCTCGCTCCTCGGTCTCCCTGGGTTCCTCCTCGCTCCTCGGTCTCCCTGGGTTCCTCCTCGCTCCTCGGTCTCCCTGGGTTCCTCCTCGGTCTCCCTGGGTTCCTCCTCGCTCCTCGGTCTCCCTGGGTTCCTCCTCGGTCTCCCTGGGTTCCTCCTCGCTCCTCGGCCTCCTCCTGCCGCTCTCCGCTGACTCTGGGAGAGAGTGGTCTGGATTTGGTGAATATTTCAGCAGCAGGGTTCAGGTGACTCCGGCCTCTAATGGAACATGATCCATCTACACTCATAATAATGCAACTCAAACTGGATAACTGACCGAGGGGGAGGAGGGGGAGAGGAACGGGGCAGCAGGGGTAGAGGAGAGGGAGAGGACAGGAGCAGGAGGAGACTAGTAGAGGTGGGATATAGAAGGACAGAGAGGGAGGTGAAGAGGGAGACAGAAGGACAGAGAAGGAGGTGAAGAGGGAGACAGAAGGACATAGAGGGAGGTGAAGAGGGAGACAGAAGGACAAAGAGGGAGGTGAAGAGGGAGACAGAAGGACAAAGAGGGAGGTGAAGAGACAGAAAGACAGAGAGGGAGGTGAAGAGGGAGACAGAAGGACAGAGAAGGAGGTGAAGAGGGGGACAGAAGGACAGAGTGGGAGGTGAAGAGGGAGACAGAAGGACAGAGAGGGAGGTGAAGAGACAGAAAGACAGAGAGGGAGGTGAAGAGGGAGACAGAAGTTCAGAGAGGGAGGTGAAGAGACAGAAGGACAGAGAGGGAGGTGAAGAGGGAGACAGAAGGACAGAGAAGGAGGTGAAGAGGGGGACAGAAGGACAGAGTGGGAGGTGAAGAGGGAGACAGAAGGACAGAGAGGGAGGTGAAGAGACAGAAAGACAGAGAGGGAGGTGAAGAGGGAGACAGAAGTTCAGAGAGGGAGGTGAAGAGACAGAAGGACAGAGAGGGAGGTGAAGAGGGAGACAGAAGGACAGAGAGAGAGATGTTGGGGCAGTGGTTAGCACTTGTGCCTCACAGAAAGGTCCTGGGTTCGATTCCACCTCCAGACCTCTCTGTGTGGAGTTTGCATGTTCTCCCCATGTCTGTGTAGGTTTCCTCCAGGTGCTCCGGCTTCCCCTACCGCTTAAACATGTACAATAGGTCTGGCATGAGCCTCCTGTAGTAGTTTGTGACTCTGATCTGTGAAAGGTGCTACAGTATATAAATAAATATTCAGATTTTTAAAAACAGTTTTGCTGTTGCAGGATTGTAACTTCAGTTTTGTTAAAGGAGCAGTTTGTAAAAATCTGGCCAAAAGTGGTACTGCAGCCTCTCCCACTCTCCCTGACTCAGGTTGCCAGATATACAGACGAATCCAGCTGGGACCATAACAGCTGAATAGACAAGAGTTTTGTCATTACCAAATCTAGAACCAACACCTTTTTCACAAAGAAAGAAATCCTGGTTTTATTCCTTGTTTTGTGGTTAATGATTTGAAAACAAGACCTTTTTTTTATTCTGCGCCACATGGTACTTTACCAGTGAGATTAGCTCGACGCGGTGAGTTCTGGCAACCCGGATCATGGACTTTCTAATGGAAGGGCGGGACATCGAAATTAAAACAATAACAAGATTTAGGGGCTGTAAAACTATTTTTTAAATCCAAATATCTCTGAACTACTGTGATCAGTTAATGAGGTATTGGAAAAGAGCATGTTTTATTAATGCCTTTTTACAGATTAGGGCCCTTTAATGATGACTTGGTAAGACATTGCTACTTTAATGTTCTGCGATTATTTATGATTAATTCTCTGAACATCGTAAAGCACTTTGGTCCTTAAAATGTGCTGTGATTGATGCGAGTTGCTGGGTATAATAAATAAACTTGCCTTTGGATCAGGAGTATCTCCTTCATTGAAATTGTCCAAATGTGATTAAACTGGAGGTGATGGTCCGTGGGGGAGGGTCTGTCGTGTGTGGAGTAAACACAAAGTGCAACAGTCTCTTCAAATACAATAGATTTATTTTAAAGGGTGCAAAACAATTGAAACTCGAACAACCCAACGGACATTTATATTTGCTCTTCTGACATCACTGAGAGCTCGGCCAATCAGAGAGCAACAGGCCGATCAGAGGTACCGTACTGACCAATCAGAGGCCGTGTAACTGTCCAGGCCAATCAAAGGTACCGTTGTCCCTGTGCTGCGTTCAGAGGTTTGGATCACACTGCTGTCAGACTGTACAGTTGGACACGCTGAGAACACACAAACTAAATAAGTTTATCTTAAATAAGTCGAATCTATGAAGTTCTGTCCAGAGGTGGAAGTGAGTATTTAACTGTCAGTCTGCCCCTGGGCAGTTGTGGCTACACAAGCAGTGCGAAGTGAAAAACTGATATAAAACCAATGCATGTGTATTACTGTGAAGTATTGCTGTACTTTACTACATACTGTGAAGTATTAAAGTATTGCTGTACTTTACTACATACTGTAAAGTATTAAAGTATTGCTGTACTTTGCTACATACTGTGAAGTATTAAAGTATTGCTGTACTTTACTACATACTGTAAAGTATTAAAGTATTGCTGTACTTTGCTACATACTGTGAAGTATTAAAGTATTGCTGTACTTTACTACATACTGTGAAGTATCAAAGTATTGCTGTACTTAAGTACATATGAAACCTCAGGATGTACTTTGTTACATCTTACACTTTTGTTCTTTTCAAAGCCTGAGATGGTTAGCTGTGCTTCTAAGTGCAGGTTTTGTATATTCTTTGTTTTCAAGTTAAAAGTCCTGAATACATACAGCCTTCTTCCTTCAATGATCAAACTCAACTGTGTGACCGTGTGCTGAGTGTGGAAGGATGAGATCAACTGAATTGGATTTGTTAAATGGCTTTCTCCAACTTGTTTAGTAAAAAATGACTAATTATCCTTAAAGTGCGTATGCTGGAATCACTCCTGTTTTAAATAGAAATAATAGTTTTACTGCTGAAGTTATTACAGACATTACAGGATTATAAACCGGGACTTGGTTCTGGTTCTGACTCAGTACAGCACGGGTCGGGCTAATGAGGCTGTTTTTATCATGGTCGAGTCAGAGCAGTTTATTTACTTATTATTTTGACTCGATCACGTTGTAGCAGCTACAGGACGCACAGACGCCGTTTAAATGTCTCCAGGAACAGCTGTAAGAACACATTGAACATGCTTCTTATGTGAATTTGTTTTTGGAGAGAGATCTTCCTACAAACTGCTGATCTCTAAACACAGAACACTCCTGAGGAAACATCGACACCAGTGAAAGTTTCTGTAACACTGAGACTGAAGAGTTTTGATATGATCCAGTCGCAGACGGGAAGAAGGACTGTCCCATTCCCATCATGCACTGAGCACGATAATAATAATAGTAATAATGCATTAGTTTTATACAGCGCTTTTTGGACTCTCAAAGACGCCTCCAGACGCCGGGTCTGAATGTGGGTGTTTGGTCGGAGGTTTTGATGCATCGGTGTGTCCGGAGTGTCATCACCGTGTGGAGAGAATGGAAACATTTCTGCACATTGAAAAGCGTTATTAAAATAAAGATGGCCCACTCACTCACGCTTCACATGCCATTATTCATTCACCCCACACACACACACACACACACACACACTTGTAGCAGTGTCTCCAAACTTCTGAACCGCAGTGTGAACCCGTGATGTTTGAGCTCCTTTGCTTGTTGCTCTCAGACCTGGCAACCCCAAGGGAGCGATACAGAGTCCAGGCAGGTCATACAAAAATAAAGCTAACTTACTTCTATTCATAAATATACAAAGGAAGAGCCTTCTAGACCCGACCAGAGCAAGCGTGACCAGAGCGAGACTGACCAGAGCGAGCGTGACCAGAGCGAGCCTGACCTTCGAGGTTATTTCTTAGTGACGCACACGAGCGTAAACGGAGCGGGAAGTGCAGCTGCAGCGGCGCCGCACAGGGGGCAGTGCTTTGCATGTTGTGCTTTATCTCAGAGGGGTCTCCCAGAGACGCTTGGACCCTGGTCCCTGTGTCCTGGGCCTTGTCCCTGTGTCCTGGTCCCTATGTCCTTGTCCCTATGTCCTTGTCCTTGTCGCGGTGCAGAGTATTTGGTGCGTTCTGAAGCCTCTGCAGCAGATCACAGATGTGTAAAGTCTTCCACATTAGTTCTGTGTCTGCTGTGATTATAGGAAGCGATTATACAGATGTTTGAGCTTCATTCAATTATAAGGATTATTAAAGCTGGGGTACCTACATTTCAAAGCACAACAACGTCAACAATGTAATAATAACCCATCTCTATCACTCGTTTTCACTTTTGTGTATTTCTGGCCTCTTTTTCAGACAGGAAGGTGACAGAGAGAGGACCGCTCTCCCTCGGCCAATCAGCTCTCAGCCTCAACAGTCAAACAGTGACTCAAAGGGCTGTATTATAGGGGAGTGTGGGTGTCGCTGCTGCTGTGAGCCGGCAACAGATAAAACGTTTAAGGTTTGAAATCCTACTGTAGTGAATGTGTTTTAATTGGGGGAAAATGAGGTACCCCAGCTTTAAGAGCTTTAATGCTGTTCTGAGGTCACCACTGGCATGTTAGTTATGTTATTGCCTTGATCTATTTTGCTATTTTTAGAATGATCTATTTATTGGTTTGAATGCATACATTTCTGCTGCTATTGGACACCTGAATTTCTCCTACGGGGATCAATGAAGTATTTATCTATCTAATGTCTGTTAAAGAAGAAGCAAATTCCTTTATTTCTACTAAGACACAATGAACTTTCCTAAACTGAACTCTCACAGGTCCGGGCAGAGAGAGAACGCCACAGTATCAGGATGGGTTTTGGACGTGAGAATGCTGGAAGGTGCCTCGCTGAAGCTTAAGCGTTAATGTGTTGGACCTGTGCTGCAGAGACCTGTGCTGCAGACACCTGTGCTGCAGACACCTGTGCTGCAGACACCTGTGCTGCAGACACCTGTGCTGCAGACACCTGTGCTGTAGAGACCTGTGTGCGAGGCCCTAGAGCAGCGCGCGGTGGGTCAGTTTCTCATGTAGTGTTTGCAGACTTCACATCTGCTCCTCCTCACATCAGTAACAGTAGTGAACTAACAAAACAAAAAACAAAGGCCAGAAATGGGCCCTGTGTCAGGAGCAGGAGGCGGCCCCGGGGCCCGTCACAGCAGCAGCAGCCGTAGCAGCAGTGTGGCTGTTTATAAAGTACCTTGGACTGTTTCATAATAAGTATAAAAAGAGCTTTGAGTAATTATCATTTCTACAGCTAAGGTTCTGGATTTCAAACTAAAATAAAACATATACATTAAATTATGGCTCCATTAGTAGGTACCTGGTGTTCCATGGATTGATCTAAAATTAAAATCAAAATAGAAAAAACTACAACTATAGATGGGGAGTAGTTGGGCCTGAGTGATACATGTGTTTGGGAACAGTGCCACACAGAGGATACTGTGAGTGCTGCAGGTTTAGACAGCGCTGTCCTCTGCCTCTCTAAGCACCTGTGTGTGTCCAGATAACACAACTCTTCTATCTGCTTATATACAGTTGTGTTGTGTCTAATGTTTTCCCTAACTCTGGCAAACACACCTGTCTCCTACGGGACATGGGGACAGTAGGGGCCAGAGTGGACAGTCTCTGTGCTGCGGCTCTGTGGACTGCTGCTGTGACATTAGCCCCGGCTCCTCTCACACACTCAGAACATAAAGTGGAAACAAAAGGACGACTGCGTGCGTGTGGCGTCCCAGGACTCCACAGATCTGATTGGGTAAAGGCCACTCAGCGATAAGGAGCAGGACGAGCTCTCAGAACCTGTGTATGTCCGGCTCGGGCTCCCTCTTCTTCAGCTCCTCGCGGTAACAGTAAGAACAGAAGTGACTGGTCTCGGGGTGTCCGTAGTAGGGACAGTCCAGTGTCCTGCAGCGCGTGGACAGCCCCCCCGCACTGCCCACAGAGTAGTGTCTGAGCGGCAGCCGCGCCTCCCCCAGCCCGTTACTGTACAAGGGCCCCAGCTCAGGGTCCAGGAAGTCTGGAGCCGGGAGGTCCGGGGGGTAGGGTGGGAGGAGGCGGGCGGGGCTGGCAGGGGGGTGGTACTGAGGCTGAGGCGGGCCCTGGGCCGTGGGGTAGTGTCGGGGTAAGGTGGCGTATGGAGGCAGACCGGGGTACGAGGCCGGAGCCCCCCCTGCCAGCGGCCGGCGAGCCTCCACACTCAGGTGCAGGTGTGGAGGGTGCACGATGCTGGGGCGGGGGATGGGCACCACCGCAGAGTACAGCGCGGGGTTCAAGGGGGCGGGCTCCTCGTCCTTGTGCTCGTACGGCCGGTAGCTGAGGTCGGTGGGGCCCAGCACGTCCTTGTGGGGGGGGCGCTCAGCGTCCCGTTTGTGCTGCTCCTGCTCGCCCCTGAAGCGCTCCTCGGCGTCCAGCAGGTAGCGCTGGATCATCTCCTCCTGGAAGGGCTGACGGGTGCTGGTGGTGAGGAGGCTGGCCAGCACAGACCTGCGCTCCCCCGCCATGGCGCTGCGCAGGAGGCCCAGGCTGCTCTTCACCTCTGCACTGTACCTGTACTCAGTCTCTGTGCTGCTGCTGCTGCTGCTGGGACCCGCCTGTCGCTCGCTGCCTGACGACTCCTCTGAGGTCGGGGCCGACCCGCTGTCCTTGCTGTCCTTCCGGCTCCTGAAGGAGCCCTTCTTCTTGTCGACTGTGTCCCCTTTGGGCCCTGCGACTGCGGGGGCCTTGCCGGTCATCAGACCCCCAACATTCTTCTTCAGCTTACTGCCCAGGCTCTTCCCGAAGCTGCCCAGCTTGTTGGCCACAGAGTCGGCCCTCTTCTTGTCCTTGTCCTTGCGGCTCTTGTCCTTGGCGGGGGTCTTGGACTGGGGGGCGGTGCTGGTGTCTGTGGTGCCGTTGGAGTTACTGCTCACAGACTCTTTATCAGACTCAGAGTCAGGAGGAGAGCGGGGGTCTTCTCCTGCTGAGGCTGTGGGCGACTCGGGCTGAGCCAGGGGGGCCTGCTGTAAACACACACACTTAGGTCAGAGAGAAGTCTGCTACACACACACACAGAGGGTGTGCAGGAGACACACAAGTACACACAGAGTACACACAGTGGACACACAGAGGACACACAAGTGCACACAGGTACAGGGGACGCACAGGGTACACACAGGACACACAGGGGACGCACAGGGTACACACAGGTACACACAGGAACACACCGGTAACACAGAGGACAAACGACTCACCTCGCAGGGCAGGGGAAGCCAGGTCACGGTCATGTAGCTGTGCAGCATGTGCAGCTTGGCCTCCAGAGACAGAGCCACACTGTTGGACACACACACACCGACACATACACACAGATATGTACACACACACACACACACACACACACACACACACACACACACACACACGTACACATCACACGGATAAAGTTCAGTTTTTTGCCATTTCTCAGGTGAAGTGTGACTGTGTGACAGAGGGTGAAGTCAGAGGAGTACCTGGCCAACATGACGTTGTCGGTGTCGTCTTTGCCCCACTCCCAGTCCTTGCCAGGGTCCACAGCAAAGTGCAAAGGCAACAGCTTGTGCTCAGAGTCTGTCAGAGGGATGACCACTGTCCAGGACACACACAAGGGCTGTCGTTATTATCATTATACTATAATTCCCCTTATGTCTTCCCGTTTCTCGCGGAGGCAGCAGTCAGAGCAGACGCCCAGACTTCCCTCTCCACACATGACAGAAACAACTAGAGGCATCCAGGAATAATCCCAAACAGATGCTGAGCCACCTCACCTGTCTCCTGCTGATATGGAGGAGCAGTGGTATCTACTGTGAGCTCCTCCATGTGATGGCGCTTCTCCCCCTGTCTCTAAGGGGCGCTCTTTGGGAACGCTTGTATCCATGATCCTTGTCCTTCGGGTCCTTCCATAATGGTGCTTTCAGACCGGCAATGCTGAAACGCACATTCTCTAGTTTTCAGACGCCGGGGTCTTCAGACCAGAGGTCCTGGCGCACGCCGGAAGTGGCAGAAGTAGCCGGCGGGCTCTGATGCTAACAGAGTTTAGCTAGCGGCTTCTTATGCACAGATCTTCTCCAATAATGCAGCTTTGCAGCGTGTCTGTGTTCAGAGACCTTCCACAGACTTTATATAACAGTAGTATGTGTTCATACATTTATTTTATTATTAAACGGTACTTCCGCATCGGCAAACACACTTGAAGCAGTTGCATAAAGTCACGGGAGCATGAAAACGCACATGTTAACAAACACTGTGTCCCCCATTGTCAACCCTGGTTTAGTCCTGGTGTAGCTTCTGTTTTGGCTGTTTACGAGTATTTTCAGTCTGCTTGCTCAGACCACTACTGTCCCCGTGACCACTTTGTGGCTCTCTGATTGGTCGCTGCACGAACGTCCCAAGGAAAGGTTGAGCAAAATTTATCCCCCCCTTCAACTTCCCAGAGCGGTCCGTGCGGGCATTTCGAGACGCTTGTGCGTTTTGACGCTCTAACACGCGTCGCCATTGACTTGCCGACGCAACGCATGTTCCGGTCTAAACGCGGCATAAGGCTCCCCATGCTACTCTTTCAACCTCACAGCCTTATGCTAACTCTGACAAATGCAAGCTGGTAGTTTCATAGTCAGTTCAATAGGACGTGGTTGTTGGTGGAGTGGCAGAAGCATCCACAGCTATAATGGGAGAGTACCTTGCTCTTTGCTGCCCTCCTTCTGCTCCATTGACACCAGTGCAGAGAAGTGGGCCTGGTCATAAGCCAGCACCAGGGGCGACCGATGGCACTTGGAAGCCAGCACTTCCAGAGGTAGGTATATACCTCCGAAGGGTATGGGAGCAAAGGCTGGAAACAAAACACCTTTTAGAAAATCTATAAAACATAAACAGATGTTTGATACAGTGTCGGTGTAACACCTTCTCCCCCTGAGTCGCGCAGCATAGTGTCAGCCACGACCACGATGGGTCTTTTGAGGACGTGTGCCAGGACAAAGACATGGAACTCCTCTAAGCTCTCATAGACGGGCTCTTCTGACGACTCCGCTCTGAGAAAATAACACACACCTCATACAGCAGCTGCTTTAGTGGGACATGTGCCTCGTAACTGGCACACGACACAGACAGACCAGGTCATCAGTGTGACGTCCACAATGTAAATAAATATCAATACTGGGTCCATTACAACACATTCTGCCACTGTGTTGACATGGGACGAGTCTGCATGTATACTGAGACAGAGGTCTGAGTCTGTATGTATACTGAGACAGAGGTCTGAGTCTGTATGTATACTGAGACAGAGGTCTGAGTCTGTATGTATACTGAGACAGAGGTCTGAGTTTGTATGTATACTGAGACAGAGGTCTGAGTCTGTATGTATACTGAGACAGAGGTCTGAGTCTGTATGTATACTGAGACAGAGGTCTGAGTCTGTATGTATACTGAGACAGACGTCTGAGTTCTTTACATTCTCCTCTAATCTCTGACAGTTGAGGATCAGGACACACATCACATGAAAGGTCACAGGTCGGCTCCAGCGCTGGGTTTTTGGTCCTGATTAAACTCTGGCACATACCCGTTGGTAGTGTTGGTGTTGTAGTGTATTCGGGGTTCACTGGAAGCCAGCTTCAACAGTTCGTTCCACTCCTTCTGCCACTCCTCCTCGGTGTACACCAGCCCTGACTGAGAGGACACAACCACGTTAGAAACACAGCCTAATGACAAATATCAGAATTGTTATGAAAGGCTACTTTTGTAAAGTTTCAGTTTTTACAAAGTGGTTTTACTGCAAATGGCAAATAAATTCTTGAAGTGCCTTAAAGTCCTCAGTTTACATAACACTGTCTATTTTAAGGATTCTGTGTGCTTAAGGCGCCCCCTGGAGGCCATTAACCTCCTGTGCAGGATTTTCTGTATCTTTGCAAACAGTCGCACTGCTACAGTCACTTTTACCTTTATTGTACATAATACATTTTGCACAAAAGAGACTCCATTTTAACCTTCGACATGTTTGCAAACTTCCTGTCTTTTTGCACAGATTGTGCAAAAGACAGAAGTGTGCAAACGTATTAGAGGTAAAAAATTAAAAATAGAGTCTGTGCAGGATATATTATTTATCTATGTCAATGTGATCCATAAGGTTAAACGTATCTCATCTAAACATTTTTGCTTTATTAAACAGTTGATTGGATCAGAAATAGGATCCAATATGGTATTTACAGCACCTTGCGAAAGTATTCGGCCCCCTTGAACCTTTCAACATTTCGCCACATTTCAGGCTTCAAACATAAAGATATAAAAATAAAAAAAATTGTCAAGAATCAACAACAAGTGGGACACAATCGTGAAGTGGAACAAAATTTATTGGATAATTTAAACTTTTTTAACAAATAAAAAACTGAAAAGTGGGGCGTGCAATATTATTCGGCCCCCTTGCGCTAATACTTTGTAGTGCCACCTTTTGCTGCAATTACAGCTGCAAGTCGCTTGGGGTATGTCTCTATCAGTTTTGCACATCGAGAGACCGGAATTCTTTCCCATTCTTCCTTGCAAAACAGCTCGAGCTCAGTGAGGTTGGATGGAGAGCGTTTGTGAACAGCAGTCTTCAGCTCTTTCCACAGATTCTCGATTGGATTCAGGTCTGGACTTTGACTTGGCCATTCTAACACCTTGATACGTCTATTTGTGAACCATTCCATTGTAGATTTGGCTTTATGTTTTGGATCATTGTCCTGTTGGAAGATAAATCTCCATCCCAGTCTCAGGTCTTTTGCAGACTCCAACAGGTTTTCTTCCAGAATGGTCCTGTATTTGGATCCATCCATCTTTCCATCAATTTTAGCCATCTTCCCTGTCCCTGCTGAAGAAAAGCAGGCCCAAAGCATGATGCTGCCACCACCATGTTTGACAGTGGGGATGGTGTGTTCAGGGTGATGAGCTGTGTTGCTTTTACGCCAAACATATCGTTTTGCATTGTGGCCAAAAAGTTCGATTTTGGTTTCATCTGACCAGAGCACCTTCTTCCACATGTTTGGTGTGTCTCCCAGGTGGCTTGTGGCAAACTTTAAACGAGACTTTTTATGGATATCTTTGAGAAATGGCTTTCTTCTTGCCACTCTTCCATAAAGGCTAGATTTGTGCAGTGCACGACTGATTGTTGTCCTATGGACAGACTCTCCCACCTCAGCTGTAGTTATCTGCAGTTCATCCAGAGTGATCATGGGCCTCTTGGCTGCATCTCTGATCAGTCTTCTCCTTGTTTGAGATGAAAGTTTGGAGGGACGGCCGGGTCTTGGTAGATTTGCAGTGGTCTGATACTCCTTCCATTTCAATATAATTGCTTGCAAAGTGCTCCTTGAGATGTTTAAAGCTTGGGAAATCTTTTTGTATCCAAATCCGGCTTTAAACTTCTCCACAACAGTATCTCGGACCTGCCTGGTGTGTTCCTTTGTCTTCATGGTTCTCTCTGTGCTTTAAACAGAACCCTGAGACTATCAAAGAGCAGGTGCATTTATACGGAGACTTGATTACACACAGGTGCATTCTATTTATCATCATCAGTCATTTAGGACAACATTGGATCATTCAAAGATCCTCACTGAACTTCTGGAGTGAGTTTGCTGCACTGAAAGTAAAGGGGCCGAATAATATTGCACGCCCCACTTTTCAGTTTTTTATTTGTTAAAAAGGTTTAAATTATTTCGTTCCAATTCACGATTGTGTCCCACTTGTTGTTGATTCATGACAAAAAATTAAAATTTTATATCTTTATGTTTGAAGCCTGAAATGTGGCGAAATGTTGAAAGGTTCAAGGGGGCCGCAAGGCACCGTACATTTGCTAAAGTGATGCCACTTTAATTGCCACGAAATGCTACCGCACTGGACTGAAGCTTACAATTGAAATAAAGACAGAGGGTTTGAGGTCTGTGTGTGGTTCAAACATTCAGTGATTACTAAAATAGTCGACTTCAGTCATTGATTATCTGTGAGTAATGGATCCACTTGTCACAGCCCTTGACCACACGTGTAGAAGGTTGTTTACAGTGAAGCAGCTCCTGGCAGCAGAGTGAGAGAGTAGACGTTACCTCCTTGTTCTGCAGCGTCTGCTGCCACCTCCAGCGCCTCCTCAGCGCCTCCCTCTCAGGCCCGTGGTCCATGAGAGCGTACAGAGACTTCCTCAGCATCAGGTCGCGGTCATGGAAGCCCCACATCCCTACAGAACACACACACACACACACATACAGAACACACACACACACATACAGAACACACGCGCACACACATACAGAACACACGCACACACACATGCACACAAACATACACAAAAAATACACACATACTGTTAATTTTACTTTTCATAGCTTTTGACTATGTAGCAAATGTAATAATAACCTGTTTCCCAGAGAGAGATCAGAGAGAGACCAGAGAGAGACCAGAGAGAGACCAGAGAGAGACCAGAGAGAGATCCGAGAGAGATCAGAGAGAGATCAGAGAGAGACCAGAGAGAGACCAGAGAGAGATCAGAGAGAGACCAGAGAGAGATCAGAGAGAGATCAGAGAGAGACCAGAGAGAGATCAGAGAGAGACCAGAGAGAGACCAGAGAGAGATCAGAGAGAGACCAGAGAGAGACCAGAGAGAGACCAGAGAGAGACCAGAGAGAGACCAGAGAGAGATCAGAGAGAGACCAGAGAGAGACCAGAGAGAGACCAGAGAGAGACCAGAGAGAGACCAGAGAGAGATCAGAGAGAGACCAGAGAGAGATCAGAGAGAGACAAGAGAGAAACCAGAGAGAGACCAGAGAGAGACAAGACAGAGACCAGAGAGAAACCAGAGAGACCAGAGAGAAACCAGAGAGAGATCAGAGAGAGACAAGAGAGAAACCAGAGAGAAACCAGAGAGAGACAAGACAGAGAGACCAGAGAGAAACCAGAGAGAGACAAGACAGAGAGAAACCAGAGAGAGACCAGAGAGAGACCAGAGAAAGACCAGAGAGAGAGACCAGATAGACCAGAGAGAAACCAGAGAGAAACCAGAGAGAAACCATAGAGAGACGAGAGAAAGACGAGAGAGAGACCAGAGAGAGACCAGAGAGAGACCAGAGAGAGACCAGAGAGAGGGACCGGTGGTTAGGTGCATGAAGCTCTGTTTGGTGAGTGAACAATGTTGAAACAAAGTGAATACCGAGAGAGGCGGCGTGTAACAGGCAGTTTCCATCCCCACTGGTCGCCAACGGCAACAGATTCTGACAGTTTGGAACGACTTTGGTCCACCAGTTCAACCGCCCTGAAAACAACACAACACAACAATGTATGTAAACAGATGTAAACACTGCTCCTGACCTGGTTTCCAAACATCCAACTTTATGTTGCGTTCTTATTTGCTTGGACTGGATATTTGTGGATTTTGGATTGACAGAAATCAACACCTGAATTTCTCCTACAGGGATCAATAAAGTATCTATCTATATAATGGTGTCATAGATTAGCAACAGAAGCAAACACTGAGGAGGGAAGTGCAAAAACACATGGTCTAGAACCAGTTGTGATGTTTTTATTGAACTTCCTGTTAATGCACGAAAAGAAAACGCAGCAACAAGGGTGTGTACCTGCGTGCTCCAGGGCCACCATCATGGACTGCTCGATCAGGTCCCTCTCGATGAAGGTGCGGAAGTCGTCGCGGTACACGGCGAGGTTGGGAAGCTGGAAGGTGCAAAGGGGCGTGTCCAGGAGGAGCTCGCTGCTGGCGCCCCCTGTGGACACATGAGAGCGCGCCAGAGACACGATGGTGGAGCTGGCGTGGGAGATGCCCCGGGACAGACGCTTCTCTGTGGCTGCGGACACAGCTGCGAGTCAGGGCCATGACACATATCCTACAACAGTCTCTATTTACAAGGAGCATCAAGGCCCGAGACAGAGGAGGTGCTATACACAAGGATTCTACAGTCAGTTCACTTGAAAATAGGTGTAATGTAAGATACTTGATACAGGTGTAATGTATTAAATTGTACCACCTCCTCCTCACCTTGCACCACCTCCTCCTGCCTCTGCAGCAGCGGGCGTCCCACTCGGTCCTTGTCCAGGGGGAGGGGCCTGTCGTTGCTGTAGGAGTAGGACAGGTTGACAGCGTGGACCTGCCGCAGCTGCTCGTAGTCACTGAGGGCCGCCGTGAAGTCCCAGTTCTTCCCTTTAGGACAGAGACACAGGGACCAGGGTCAGACCGAGACCAAAGGGACCAGGGTCAGACCGAGACCAAAGGGACCAGGGTCAGAACGAGACCAAAAGGACAAGGGTCAGACCGAGACCAAAGGGACCAGGGTCAGACCGAGACCAAAGGTACCCAGGTCAGACCGAGACCAAAGGGACCAGGGTCAGACCGAGACCAAAGGGACCCAGGTCAGACCGAGACCAAAGGGACCAGGGTCAGACCGACACCAAAGGGACCAAGGTCAGACTCAGACCAAAGGGACCAGAGTCAGACTGAGACTGAGAACAAAGGGACCAAGGTCTTCCCTTTAGGACAGAGACACAGGGTCAGACTGAGACTGAGACCAGGATCAAAGGGACCAGTTCTTCTCTTCCAATAATCAACAACTATTTTAGTCATAGTTAAGTGCTCTATATGCAGACTCCAAAACATGAATGTGAGAGATGGGAAGTCTACATTTTACTGATAAAACCGTCTGTTCAACAAACAGAATATCAATTGGGATGTGGTGCTACTCCATCTTTATATGAGCAGAGATAAAACACATTTGTTCAGTTATCAGGTGATGATGGGTTTTCAAAGTAAAGGTTACAGCTCTGTATCAGTGAAGAAGGGGAACATTTGGTGTGGACCCACCCTCCAGCAGGTCCCGGGCCAGTCCCGGCTCTGCTCCCGTAGAACGGACGAAGTCGGACAGCACCGCGTCCATGTCCACAGTCATGTGATCATGAAGTCAGGCGGATGTGGGGGTCCAGAAGAGAACCTGCCATGCCTGCCACACATAACACACACCGGGTCAAACACAACACACTCAATACGCAGGGGACACACAAATGCACACATGGGACCTTGTTAAACTGTGAACCACATTTATATTACGGCTGGGATTCAATAGTATTGCGATACTTGGGCCACAATTCAATAGTATTGTGATGTGATACAGAAAGTATTGTGATCCATGTCACTCATTTTATTCAAAGACTTGGAGGAAAATAAGACTCGTCTCTGTGTCCTCCTTGAACATTCAGGACACAGGACCTTATTACAGACAGACATAATAATTCTCTGAATAGACGACTCTCACATGAAGTAAGCTCCCAGCTCTGAACTTACATTATTCCCAAAGAGTAAACTCAGAGTTAACACTAAAGTCAAAACAATCATTATTTATCTAAAGATTGATAACAGAATCATTTTTCCCCCAGCATTTATCTATAACCTTTTTGTCCCATAGACCTTCACTTTGATTGATGATTCACTGTGACCATAGACCATAGAGTGCCACAGCCACAGCTCACAGTGATGCAGCCTGTAGCATGTGGCAGTGGATTAGCTCCGCCCACACACTCTGGGCTTAGCAGGACAGCGTGGAGAGCCTGGTGTTTGCAGTAACAGGACACTACACTGTAATCTCATGTGAATCTCATTATTCAATCAGCACACGTGGAAGAGCAGGAAGAGCAGGAGGAGAAGGAGCTGGAGGAGCAGGAAGAGCAGGAGGAGAAGGAGCTGGAGGAGCAGGAAGAGCAGGAGGAGAAGGAGCTGGAGGAGCAGGAAGAGCAGGAGGAGAAGGAGCTGGAGGAGCAGGAAGAGCAGGGCCGAGACAGTGCCTCATTAACATATGCCACGCTTAAGGACGTTATCAAAACATTACCACATGTTCTCAAACACGCCCAATGCACAGTGCTCGGTTTGGCCGCTAATATTGATAACAAACACTGTTTGTTTAAAAATGTAGAATGTGAAGTCATTTCTCGAGTTAAAAATATGGATAAATATGAAAATTTTAAATAAAAGACAGTCAGCAGCAAGAGTAAACAGCCCCATCTAGAGTGAGGTAGGAGTAACTCTTTTTTTCAATTATAGACTATTTTTAAATCAAACAATTGTTTTGTTTAGATTGAATGTAAAGTCTGTTTTCCTTGAATCTTAGATAATAAATGACATGAGGCCAATGCAGATTTACAGGAACAGAGGATAATTAACCCACTCTGCATCAGATACTTTCATCACAGAAATACATAGAAGAAAATTATGTAAGAAATATATAGGGATGTGTATATACAACACAAACCAATGTATAGTCAAGTCGCTGTATAGAAAGTGTCCTGCATTCGTGTAGTCATTCTGGGGTTAACATTTTACAAACATCGCACTGTAAAACTAATCCCATGAACGGCCAGAAAGACACGAAAACCTGTGAGTTTTCTGATACCTTCATCAAATTGCCAAAGTAATTGCCTCATGCTGTTCCCAAGTGGCTCCTTCTGCATGTTCTTCCTGTGGAACAATACTCTAGAGTAATAAAAAAGATATTGTATCTACACTCCTTCTTTCTAACGCCTACTGATAAAACTGAAGTTTCCAAAATTATAATGAACACGAAAAGTTCACATACTGCTGGTATTGATGAGATATGTAGTAAAATCGTCAAATTCATAGCACCGGACATTGTAGATCCACTAGTTTATTGCATTGAAAAACCTCTCTCTAATTCAAGGTGTAGTTCCGAAAATGACTAAGATTGCAAAAATATTACTAATTTTCAAATCTGGTGACAAAAATAACATGTACAACTATCGACCAATATCCATCCTACCTACATTTTCTAAGGTGCTTGAGAGAGTTGTGTACAATAGGCTTAGTGGATACTTGGACAAACTAGACATACTCACCCCAGCTCAGTATGGATTTAGAAAGAAGAGTACCACCTGTTTATGGCAGTTCTCGATCTCATTGAAAAAATTAATGACGCTGTTGATAAAGGGGAGTGTGGAATTGGTGTCTTTCTCGATTTATCAAAAGCGTTTGATACCATCAATTTTGAGATTCTTATTGGCAAACTGGAACATTATGGGGTCAGGGGAAATGCACTCAGGTGGTTTAAAAGCTATTTATTTGAAAGGGAGCATTATGTCCAATTACAAAACAGCAAATCCCAGCATAAAAAAATCAAATATGGAGTCCCCCAGGGCTCTATATTGGGGCCACATCTCTTCATTATTTATGTTAATGATCTTATGAATTCATCTATTGTCCTTCATGAGGTGTTATTTGCCGATGACACAAACCTATTCCTGTCACACAAAAACTTGGACAGCTTAGAAGCACTTGTAAATGAAGAACTTATCAAAGTAGACAATTGGCTAAAATGCAACAAACTACAGTGCCTTGTGAAAGTATTCGGCCCCCTTGAACCTTTCAACATTTCGCCACATTTCAGGCTTCAAACCTAAAGATATAAAATTTTAATTTGTTGTCATGAATCAACAAGTGGGACACAATCGTGAAGTGGAACGAAATTTATTGGTTAATTTAAACTTTTTTAACAAATAAAAAACTGAAAAGTGGGGCATGCAATATTATTCGGCCCCCTTGCGCTAATACTTTGTAGCGCCACCTTTTGCTGCAATTACAGCTGCTAGTCGCTTGGGGTATGTCGCTATCATTTTTGCACATCGAGAGACTGGAATTCTTGCCCATTCTTCCTTGCAAAACAGCTCGAGCTCAGTGAGGTTGGATGGAGAGCGTTTGTGAACAGCAGTCTTCAGCTCTTTCCACAGATTCTCGATTGGATTCAGGTCTGGACTTTGACTTGGCCATTCTAACACCTGGATACATCTATTTGTGAACCATTCCATTGTAGATTTGGCTTTATATTTTGGATCATTGTCCTGTTGGAAGATAAATCTCCGTCCCAGTCTCAGGTCTTTTGCAGACTCCAACAGGTTTTCTTCCAGAATGGTCCTGTATTTGGCTCCATCCATCTTCCCATCAATTTTAGCCATCTTCCCTGTCCCTGCTGAAGAAAAGCAGGCCCAAAGCATCATGCTGCCACCACCATGTTTGACAGTGGGGATGGTGTGTTCAGGGTGATGAGCTGTGTTGCTTTTACGCCAAACATATCGTTTTGCATTGTGGCCAAAAAGTTCGATTTTGGTTTCATCTGACCAGAGCACCTTCTTCCACATGTTTGGTGTGTCTCCCAGGTGGCTTGTGGCAAACTTTAAACGAGACTTTTTATGGATATCTTTGAGAAATGGCTTTCTTCTTGCCACTCTTCCATAAAGGCCAGATTTGTGCAGTGCACGACTGATTGTTGTCCTATGGACAGACTCTCCCACCTCAGCTGTAGTTATCTGCAGTTCTTCCAGAGTGATCATGGGCCTCTTGGCTGCATCTCTGATCAGTCTTCTCCGATCAGTCTTCTCCTTGTTCGAGATGAAAGTTTGGAAGGACGGCCGGGTCTTGGTAGATTTGCAGTGGTCTGATACTCCTTCCATTTCAATATAATTGCTTGCACAGTGCTCCTTGAGATGTTTAAAGCTTGGGAAATCTTTTTGTATCCAAATCCGGCTTTAAACTTCTCCACAACAGTATCTCGGACCTGCCTGGTGTGCTCCTTTGTCTTCATGGTTCTCTCTGCGCTTTAAACAGAACCCTGAGACTATCAAAGAGCAGGTGCATTTATACGGAGACTTGGTTACACACAGGTGCATTCTATTTATCATCATCAGTCATTTAGGACAACATTGGATCATTCAAAGATCCTCACTGAACTTCTGGAGTGAGTTTGCTGCACTGAAAGTAAAGGGGCCGAATAATATTGCACGCCCCACTTTTCAGTTTTTGATTTGTTAAAAAAGTTTAAATTATCCAATACATTTTGTTCCACTTCACGATTGTGTCCCACTTGTTGTTGATTCTTGACAAAAAAAAAATATTTTTATATCTTTATGTTTGAAGCATGAAATGTGGCGAAATGTTGAAAGGTTCAAGGGGGCCAAATACTTTCGCAACTGTATCATTAAACATAAACAAAACCAACTTTATAATATTCCGTTCAAATAGAAGCTGGAAAGACATTGAAAGTATTAAAATACAAATTAATGGAAGAGTTCTTGAGAGAGTAGAGAACATCAAATTTTTAGGAATATATTTGGATGAATTCTTGAACTTTAAAAAACACATAGATTACCTAATTAATAAACTATCTAAATATGTTGGTCTCTTTCTCAAATTGAGACATTATCTACCCTTGAAGCTCTCCTAACTCTATACCGGTCTGTATTTGAACCACACCTTCATTATTGTAATGCAATATGGTGTAACACGTATCCAAGCCACCTTGAAAAGCTACAGATTCTGCAAAAGAAATTAATTCGTGTTATTGCTTGGTCTAAATATGATGCTCCCTCTGATCCTCTCTTTTACAGGTTTAAGCTACTGAAGCTCACTGAGTGCAACAGTTTTCATAATGCTTGCATTATGTATAATGTAGTATACAATCTAAATGCTCATCCCAGTGACCTCTGCTCCCCACAGTCACAACACTAGAGGGAAACCCTTACTGCGAGGGCAAAAAACGCAGCCTGTGGGAGGATGTCTTTTTTGTTGTCCTGTTTTTTTGTTATTGGGGCCCCTACATATAAGCCATTTGTGCTTCATGGGAGTCCTTTCACAAACCTAAATGTTTATGTAAAAGATGTGGATTCAACTTATGTTTGTGAACAAATAATAATAATAAATAATTGTATCTGCACTTTTTATTGGCCTGAAAATATGTAAGAGAAATTACAATGTTCAGCATTTCCAATTAAACGAATGAAAAGGGGGCGACAGTGGCTCAGTTTGGCCCTTGGGCCTGAAGGTCGTGGGTTCAACCCACTTCACGACTCCCACTGATGTCTGCGGTTGTTGTGTCCTTGGGCAAGACACTCTTTACCTACAGCCCCCGCTGAAAGATCAAGGCAGTTCAAACTAGAGCAGCCCTCCTCCTGTGGATGGAGGACTGGAGGATCAGTGAGGGGCTGGTGCTCTGACTGCCACCCGACCCAGAAACGGATGAAGGGGAAGAAGATGGATGGATGTGTAAAACTGCAACAACAAAAATCCCGCACATTTTCCAGCTCTATTAAAGAGTTGCATTTACTGAACAATGGCTGTAGTAATGACTGTGACGGTCCAGTTACAAGTATGTGACACATGTGAAGAGTTATAGAGCAGCAGCATCTTCTTCTGATGTAAACTCAAATATACTCAACAACATCTACTGCTCAGGGACCACAGCTGTACAACCTGCTACACTGCATCTGTCCTTTTGGCTCAGGTTTATTGTATACTGTCCCTGTAACTTAACATACCATAAAAACCATACCCTACCATAGCATACCATAAAAACCATACTCTTTCATAGCAGAGCATACCATAAAAACCATGCCAAACCCTACCATATCAAAGTACACACTAATGTTTACAGTCAGCACTAAAGGCACATAGCAGACAGAGTGTTGTGAAAGGACAGTGGTATTGACAGCAGTAAAGAGTGTGTTGTCCCACTGACCTGCAGCTCTGACTTATTCATGAGCCTCAAGGAGGAGTCTGTAAGTGATCCGTGTGGGCCGCCCCACAGCTGTCTGAGGACACACAAACTATATACACTATGCTCTGTGTGTATGTGTGTCCTCAGGCAGGGAGGGGCCCGTTTCATTGCTCTGAGTCAGTTATTCTCATCATCGAGTGAGCTACCTGCTTTAACAACTGACCGATGGACTATCAAGCTCACGTCATCATAAACCAAATCACCCCACCCCACGTTTTGTCTGTGCAATTACTGTCTGTGCATTTATTGTCTGACGTTAAACCGGTTCTAAAAGGAAATATTGTTAGAAATGTATAAGATGGAAAAGCTGACTGCTTATGTGAATGGACAGACGGTTGGTTTGATTCTTGTTGTAAATGTGTTATAAATATCTATATATATCTATAATTTTGTTTTATGTAATTCTGTAATTTCTTCTGCATAAACTATGAAAACTCATAAAGAAAAAAACTCATAAATAAAAAAAACCTGTCCTAAAAAGGTCTCTGTTCTAAAGGCCTGACTCTGCGTCTGTCTGAGGTCCCAATGGATGTACTGCATGATCTGGATTGGGTCCCGCTCGCTGGTCCTGACACAGGTGTGGACCAGGACCACCTGCAGTACTGCAGACTGAACCAGCGCCACACAGAAAACGTTTTGACAATATTAACATCCGACCCCCTTTTGGGCCAGATGTTAATAGATCATTTTCAATATTCTAGTCATTGTTATGAGCAGAGAGCAGCAGGATCCACAGACGTGTGAGGAGCTCTGTGTGAGGAGCTCTGTGTGAGGAGCTCTGTGTGTGGAGCTCTGTGTGAGGAGCTCTGTGTGAGGAGCTCTGTGTGTGGAGCTCTGTGTGAGGAGCTCTGTGTGAGGAGCTCTGTGTGAGGAGCTCTGTGTGAGGAGCTCTGTGTGAGGAGCTCTGTGTGTGGAGCTCTGTGTGTGGAGCTCTGTGTGTGGAGCTCTGTGTGAGGAGCTCTGTGTGAGGAGCTCTGTGTGAGGAGCTCTGTGTGTGGAGCTCTGTGTGAGGAGCTCTGTGTGAGGAGCTCTGTGTGAGGAGCTCTGTGTGTGGAGCTCTGTGTGTGGAGCTCTGTGTGAGGAGCTCTGTGTGGCTGCAAATTAACAAATGTCAATCAACAAACTAATGAATAAGAAGAAATATCTAAATATTGTTAACTATCAGCAGTTAGCATTTGCTGCATTTGGCGCTTACTTTAAGAACCTTATAAATGACTTTCTTGCAATGCCTTTTCCATTGCCCATTGGTTTGAACTGGAGCAGTCCAGTTCTAGCAGCTTCAGAATTTTAGGAGTCTGTGTTAAAGGAGAAAAAACAGTGAGCACCAGGGCTGGGACAGACCTAGGATGTTCAGTATGTCCCTCGTGAACACAGAGCAGCATCAGAGCTCTGTGATGCTGCTCTGTGATGACTCTGATGAGCTCTGTCGTGACTCTGTGATGACTCTGTGATGCTGCTCTGTGGTGACTCTATGGTGACACTGTGATGACTCTGTGATGCTGCTCTGTGGTGACGCTCTGTGGTGACTCTGTGATGACTCTGATGAGCTCTGTCGTGACTCTGATGACTCTGTGATGATTCTATGGTGACACTGTGATGACTCTGTGATGCTGCTCTGTGGTGACTCTGTGATGACTCTATGGTGACTCTGTGATGACTCTGATGCTGCTCTGTGATAACTCTGATGACTCTCCGATGAACTCTGATGAGCTCTGTGATGACTCTATGGTGACTCTGTGGTGACACTGTGATGACTCTGTGATGACTCTGTGATGCTGCTCTGTGGTGACTCTGTGGTGAACATGGGCTGATGTGGCAGACAGTTGTAGAGCTCGTTCGTTTGGGACACATTCAGACACTGAATTATTGAGAGGAAACCTGAGCCCAGACCCGCCCTTTACCAAACGACACCGTAGTTTCTGGACGATAAGTCGCTACTTATTCCTAGCTCGATCCCTGCGGCTTGTACAGCGATGCGGCTAATGTATGTCTGTTTATTGTGGTGGAGTTGGAGATTCTGAAAGTTCGGTGATGGAGAACACCTTTGTTGACTTGTTACAGATAGAGCAAGGTCCAGAGGAACAGTTTGATTCTCTAATCTGTGTTGGAGAATTCAACGGTTTTGGAAAGTCCTCTGAGATAACTACTGTTGTGATTTACGGCGACACAAGAATACATCGAATCTAATTAAATTTAATTGTTGCAACTCTTTCATTTCCATGCGTTGCTTTAAAATACCCCACAACAACGTTTTTTTTAAAGTAATGATTTTTTTTTTTTAAGATTTTATTTAAATAATGTAATTTTTTTTCCTGTTTTTGCTTTTTCTGAAGCAAGAGGCTTTGAGGACAGTGATGATTCTGAACACTCCACATTCAACCACATTTCCAAACTTTATTCATATTTACGGACAGTGGTCTCTATGTGTTTGTTATCATTGCATTTCCTGTGTATGTACTGTTTGATTCACTGATCTGTGTTGGCGAATCGACAGCTTTGTAAAGTCCTCCGGGATATTTACTGTTGTGATTTTGGGCGATGCAAGAACAAAGTGAATTGAATTTTTACCTTTGTCGTTTATACACCTTCATATATTCGATGATCACATGATTACTGTGGTCACTGGTGCTGTGAGAGAAGGGGGCGGAGCTTCTGCGTCTCCTTAATCTCCCCTGTTTGTCTCTCCTGCGTTTGAAGCTTGAACCTGGGATTACAGGTCAGTTCTGGGAGCAAGACGTTTACTTCGAGCCTTGGTGCAGCCTCCTTACATTTTAGATTCATTTATTTCAAACATATGCAACAGACAGGATACAAGATAAACAGCAGTAAATAGTTCAAAAAGGATTTGGACGAAGCAGACTTTTGGCTCCAACCTGTCACTCAAACATCACTCTCTCCTTCATCTTCTTCTTTAAAAAGTTTTATTTAAAAGTCATCAGGTTTGAACATGTTTTAAATCTTCTGTAAATCGTTCCAAAGAGTCGCTCCTCGCATTGAGAAACATATCGATTTGAAAGTAGTTGAAATCCAGGCACTTTCTCACCGTTTTGTTATCCTTGACTGAGGCTTTCATCTCCCTCATGAAATAAATAAGTCTTGTACATTCAGCGCAGAGTTTCCAGATCCCCAGAACATTATCTGAGCAGTTTTAAAGCTAAGTCCAGCAACTTTAAGTTCTTTTACTGTACTTCTATGAACAGTGATTAGAAAGATGTGGGTAGAGGGCATTATATATAATCCTAATGGCCATGTTCTGCTGCGAGTAAAGGCTGTAACTGAGATATGAATGAAAGTAAAATGAATGAATGTAAATAAGGTCTGTTCTTCAGTGACTCACACTAGAAAACCTTTGTCCTCAGTTCTTTTATATGGACTGAGGGACAACTTTCTCTATTGGTGCATCATCAATCATTATCCTGACCGGTATATTACTGTCATGAGTGCAAAACGTCTGCTGTATATTATGAACAATAATGGGCCCAGTATTGACCCTTGTGGTACTAACACATGTCCCTAAACCTGTTATGTATCGGTCGGTCTGTACAATATTCTCTTCAGCCATTTTTACCAAGCTCCAAAGACCATAGATGTGAAATGTGTTTATTAAAATGTGGTCAATAGTATACGCTTTTTAAAGATCTATTCAAAAATAAAAAATAAAAAAAGGTTTTAATGCATTTTTGAGACAGTCTATCTAGTATTTTGTAAAACTGTGGTAGGAGAGACACAGGGCAATACTTGGTAAAATAGTGTTTGTCTCCTCATTTGAAAACTTTGAAAAATTCAGGAGAGATGGCCAAAAAAAATCACGTATGAGGTGGAAATATCACAATAACGTTATAATTTGCTATACAAAGCGCAGTGGAAAAATCTTTAAAATGGCACAATTTAATAGAAAAAATACACAAATAACTATGTAATAAATCCATCTTATTGCTCTCAAAACAGTTTTCACATGTATGTCTGGCCTCTGTCGCATCTTTAGATCAGCTTTTCAGACAAGTGAAAGGAAGAGGACCACCTTCACTCAGACAATCAGCTCTCGGTAAAAGACAAATGTTTTCAAATTAGATGAAGACAGCCTGTTTGGGAATGGGAAGTTCTCCAGATGCGGCAGAATCTGCAGTTGCATAGATGGTCCACCGCTAAACTGAAGACCGGCTTGAGCCAGAAATACCTGATCCAGATAATTTAATACAGCCATAACTAAAACAGAGACCAGAGCTGCCAGGGAGACACAGGCAAGCAGGTACAAGCCCTTCACAGCATCAGAGCAGAAGAAAATCATGGAAAATGGAAAAAAACAGATTTAAGTTACAGCTGGGTTCCTAAGTTTTTTGTTGTATGTCCCAGTAGTAAAATGTTGTGACCAAATGAGACCACAGCACGCTTATTAGAAACAATGTAGTCCTTTGCATACTTGAACGAAAGAGCCCCGAGAGTCACTATTTGAAAGCTGATTGACGAAGCGCTGGGAGGACACAGAAGATAGTACAGGGTAGAAGCCACTGTGATCATGGACTGTTTGTGCTGCTGCCGTCTGGGAGGAGCTAATGCTAACAACTGGGAGGATGATAAGGATTTTTTTTCCCTGAAGCCATAACTAAACCGGTCCTAACTCTGTCTCTGTTTAGGTTTCTGTGTTATTATTATTCTGTTATTATGTGTTTACTGTACTGAACGACTGCTGGAGGCACATAAGAATTTCACTGCATGTAATGCGTAAGTGACAAACAAGGGGTGGTCTTCTCTTCAGGGTATTGGCTTGACAGACATGATTAAACCGATACCCAAGCCAACAATATTTACAAAATTGGCCTGATATTCCATACTGGTATTGTATCATGCAATAACTTACAACACCAAATTACATAATCATAATAACAATATAAAAATAATAGCTTTATTTGTATCGCACCTTTCAGACACATTTGCAGTTCAAAGAGCTTCGCAGCAGCAAAATACAAACAGCACAAAACAATAGCTGACATCTCATTCAAATCATTGATAGTTGCACCCAAAAAAACCCAAAGAGTGCAAGCAGTATGTGCCATCGGCCCCTCCGACCACCACCAACCATTCACACACACACCAGACTCATTCTAGGCAATGTGGGTGAAGTGTCTTGCCTAAGGACACAACAACAGTTTGGCACTTTACAGCCGCAGCGACCCCACTGTGGCACTGGTGTTCCCAGAGGTCTCCCATCACAGTACTAACCAGGCCCTGCCCTGCACACATTCAGAGGTCTGACGGGATCTGGCTTTCGCATGCAAGTATGGCTAACATAGCAAAATTAGCTAAAAATATAGAATCAAAGCATTTAAATCAATGATGTAACTTGCAAAAACAGACTAAAACAGTTATATTGTTCATGATAAATGTGTATTAATGAGAAATCTTGAATACCAACAAACCTGACTCATGCTTCTGACAAACACTAGGACCTGACACTTGTCCATGACTCTCCAGAATGTTCCAACATTTGTGACTCTCTGGTTCCATTGCCTCATGCAGGCGGCGTCCAGCCCTAAAGTTACAGACTGTAGCTTTAACTCTGTCTGTGTCGCAGCATCCTCTCCAGGCTCAGACCATGCTCCAGGCTGATGCAGACAGTGATCATGTAAAGTCAAGTTATCTCCGTACATGATGGCAGCCACTACACGCCTTCAGTTACATAAAGGTATTAGTTTAAATGGATTTGTGAGGGGTTAGCTGCTCGTCTGCTGCAGCAAGGACAGAAACTACTCCACACTGCAACTGGAGACGGTGCATTATGTTCCCAACACCAGCGTTTCAGCCTTTACAGAATGTCAACATTGAGTTAGCAAAGGGCTAGTGCGAGGCTAATCAGCAGCTAGCGTTAGCCACATTAGCCGTACAGAGCTAGAGCGCAGGAGCTGTTGCAGTGACTCACGCGGCGGCCATCTTGTGTTTTCTTAAGAACCGAGGTCTTGTAACGTCATAAGAAAGTCAGTCACGGATATAAGTCTTTGGGCAATATTGTAAACTACTCTACTGATTTTTTCTGTAAATAACACATTGGTTTTATACAGCATTTTTTTGGACACTTAAAGTCTCTTCACATGTCCTTATTCATTCACTCCACAGCACTATAATAATGTATGGATAGTGTATTACTAGCTCATAGCTGTCCCACCCATGGGCACCCCGTGGTACTGCAGACTAAATTCACGTGGGCTAATCAGAATAATGTCCCATAGAACTCAATGTAAACTAGAACAGCTCGACTTCAGCTGTCAGAGATTGAAACATTCTGTGGGGAATTTAGTGTCCATTGTCATCCTTCTTTTCTTGTTAAACTCAGCTGTTTACTTTAATGCAACAAATTTCGCTTGTTTGGCTCCCGCAATAATCAGCAGCGCATTATTGGTCAAAACGCGGCCGAGCCACAGCCAATTTGTGTTTGCCGCAAAGCATCATGGTCCTCTGGGAACACCAGCTGCCACAGTGGGGCGACTGTACAGTGTCCTTAGGCAAGACACTTCACCCACATTAGACTGAGTCTGGTATGTGTGTGAATGGTTGGTTGGTGGTTGGTAGAACCAGACTTGCCCAAATATGGGCGAGTTCCGCTAATCTCTTGGTCCCCTGTATGTTCCATGCGCTACTGAAAACAAGCCATTGGAATAGGGCGCCATCTTGGATCACCAGGGCTTGCTCCAAACACAGTGGTGAACTACTACTACTGTAGCCACAGCTGACCTGGGGCACACTGACAGAATAGAGATAACCAGTCTGTGCCGTCGGCCCCTCCGACCAACAACCATTCATACACACAAGACCCATTCTAATCTGGGTGAAGTGTCTTGCCTAAGGACACAACCACAGTTGAGCACTTTACAGCCGTCCCACTGTGGCACCTGATGTTTCCAGAGGTCTCCCATCAGTCACAGGCCTTGCCCTGCTTACCTTCATAGGTCTGAGGGAACTGGCTTTCACCTGGCGGTATGGCCAAAATTATGTAAAATTATGAAAAGAACCAAGTTAGTCAACAATCAATACACATTATCCATTTGTTTAAACTTACATCCTTAAAGGTATATAGGAGGATTTTCTACTTCCAGGTGGTCCTCATAATTGTCAATCCTTCTGGTGATATGTGCTCGTCAAATAAGACCAGAGAGTTTTGTTCAACAAGTGGAGAGGGAGGTCATTTCCTTAAATTTGGGAAAATCCTCCTATATACACACATTTAACTTTCATGAACCTCACGGTCCATATGGAGCTCTGTACATACACACAGTTCTGAACATCGCAACACTAAAATGTCTATTGTAAAACAAAAAGATCTGATGCACCATTTCCCACTTTCTTTATACCGTCCATATTCTACAAAACTAACGCTATACATTTGGGGGAAAAGGCCAAAGGACAGTATTTCGTTAAAACAATGGAGTTTGGAGGTTTCTCAGTAGAATAACTTCAGCTGGAGCTAGATGTGTTTGCACTGTGTTCTCCTGGTGCGTGCTCTAGCCGCTTACATAGATGAGTTAGCCTAAGGTTTCTATGACTCTCGTCTCCCACTTCTTACCGTCAGGGCTGCGTCTTCTCCAGCGTCTCCCGCGGCTCGAACATACCATCCTCTAACATTGTCCAGGGCAGAAAGCAGCAGCAGGTCTTTGGAGCGCGTCCCAAGCGCGGAACAAGAGGACATTTAACCAAGGGATCATCATCGCTGACAAAGTAATTCCACAGCACTTCAACAGTCACAGGCTCAGTCCCGCCTACTGCCCGGCCCCAGCCAATCACAGAGTGGAGAGAACGAGACGGACGGAGAAACGGACCAATAGCGTACGGGCAGGGCAGAGACGGGACGTAAGCGGTGGGAGTGAGCAGGGGCAGACATGTGCGAATTTATTTATTTATATACGATGGTAATAGTTTGTTTACTTAACGCTGCGGTCAAACAACAGCCAGTAAAACGTCATCCAACTGGTTCTGTTTGACTGTTGGGGAAGACAGTGTATTTAACACTCGGGACTCAGAATCCTGAAACTATTAGAATTCCCAGGGCAGTCACTTTGACGGCTTCAATGAAATCAATGGAATTGAGAAAATCGCCCAAAACAATTGGTTTGACAAAACTACCAAAATTAAGCCATTTTACGGTGTCTTATTTTATCTCTAATAAGTGCTCGAACTGGAAGTGGCCTAAAGTGCCATAGTATGTTGGTTTGAATTTTACACGTACTCCGAGCTGTCAAACTGACTGCTCAGTTAAAAAACCTCTATTCAAAAACAGATTTCACACAAATAATGGGAGATGAAAAAACTACATAGAAACAAAGTCTCATAGTTCTAAAGACTAAACATAAGCAGTAATTACATGTCTGCAGCTCATGGAGTTCTCATGTTCAGAACCAAACGTCACGCAAACTTTCAATGCTCAAGAACAGATTTAATTTAAAACAAACTTTATTTTTTTTGTTTTACATAACAGTAAAATTCGGTATTTGTTACATTCAAATGAACCTACACAGAACAAATCCGCCGGATACAAAGTGAAATAGAAACATAAAATTAGATAAAACACAAATACAAATCGTTCCATTTGCGAAACAAAGAATAGGGCGAGGAGCTCTTCAGCGCCTCCTACGGTCAGGACTCCTGCTGCGCCTGCGGCCGCCCGCCCTGAGGACAACAGTACAGTGTCAGCAGAGACACATCACAGTGAGACAGCTAAACTATCAGACACAAGTTACGGTCACACTTTAGTTTAGCCCACACTAACAGCTAATGAGTGAATGACTTAAGGTTAATTAGCTCTTATCAAGTACGTATTCTAGGTGGCCTTCTTCTACCATCTAACTTTCTGACACTTTCACGCTGTTACTTAGTGAAGGCCAATCTTAAGTGTGACCAAAGCTATACAAAATCTAAATGGGGAAAGGCAATAATTAAACCACAAATGCCATTTCAGAATAAAAATCCTGCAGACAGTTCCATGTCAGATGCTTAAATTTCAGCAAATTTAAATTAATTCAAGATTCAGTTGATTTGACATTTGCAGTATGACCACATTGGAATAACTACTTCAGCGTGCACCGGGATAATTACCATATCAGAACCATGTGTGTCAAATGTCTGTTGGATCCGGGACGTTTCTGCACATTCATTCTATACCTTAGAAGTGTATGCTGATTTTTATTATGCCTTACTCTATTCTTTACCCCTCTTTTCTGAATGATGCACCGAGCCAAGGCAATTTCCTAGTCTGACTTCCTGTGACTTACATGACAATACAAATTATTCTGTTTGTGGACAGTGGTCGCCTGCTCCCTATGGACCAATGGCTCTACGTGTGTCATTATTACAGGGTTTGAACAGTTTGAGTCTCTGATCTTTTTTGGCTAAATCCACAACTTTGTAAAGTCCTGCAAGACTGCGTTTTAACTAGCCTGGCCTTATCCATCCGTACACTCCGCTCAACCATCATTTCACTGCATGTAACGTCTGGGTCTGGTCCCTGGGTTGGTGATTGCAATCGGTTGACTTTTGACCGACCAATCAGAGAGCGCGAAAGGAAGGTGTTGTATTTAGTTGTGGGTGACGTCAAGAGTCGAACGGGCAGGTTGTAGTTTGGCAATGGTGAAAAATGCGATAGTAAAGTAATCCGGTATGGTTCTATCAAGAAATTGAAGCCGGAGCAAGAGGAATGTTTAGCAAATGTAATCGCTAGAAAAGATTGTGGCGCTACTCCCCACAGGCTCCGTTAGCGGCGAAGGAGATGGCTAAAGCTAGGCTAAATGCTAACGACTCACTCGGCGCATTACAGACGTCACAATAAACTCAGATCCAATCGTTTCAATCTGTGAAATGTAATTTGTACTATGGTGTGGTACGACCAGGTTACGTTTTAACTAGCGTTGGTTTATAATCAACTGTCAAAATCATGGCAGAATGATATGAGATACAATTCTGATCAAAAGGTTTATTTAATGTATATGAAAGATCCTAACTAGTGCCAGGATGTGTGAACTCTTGGCACATGCAGTGGGTCGTGTTCTCACCTCCTCTTGCTCTTGGGCGGCCCTCGCACAAAGCCCCAGTCGACACTGATGGGCTGCCCCATCAGGTCCTGGGCGTTGAGGCCCTCCATCGCGGCCTGAGCCTCTTTGTACGTCTCATACTCCACCAGAGCGTACCCCTGAAACACGCCACAGCAAGAACACGACCAGTGCTTAGTTTACAATTCACACAAACAGATCAGAACAGTGAGCATTCCACCGGGACTTAAATGACTTCATGAAACACTAATAAACACTTTTTTTCTAAATCTAGGGGTAAGTGTGAATTAGCTATAAGCACCAAAATAAATGCATCGGTCCCTACTCATATAAACCAAATCAGTAGTGAGTGCGACTGCTTTTGTTTTCTCCACGCCTGCTCCTTATGTCTCCAACAGCACATGTGTCAGTCATGCGTCAGTCATGCGTCAGTCATGCGTCAGTCATGCGTCAGTCATGCGTCAGTCATGCGTCAGTCATGCGTCAGTCATGCGTCAGTCATGCGTCAGTCATGCGTCAGTCATGCGTCAGTCATGCGTCAGTCATGCGTCAGTCATGCGTCAGTCATGCGTCAGTCATGCGTCAGTCATGCGTCAGTCATGCGTCAGTCATGCGTCAGTCATGCGTCAGTCATGCGTCAGTCATGCGTCAGTCATGCGTCAGTCATGCGTCAGTCATGCGTCAGTCATGCGTCAGTCATGCGTCAGTCATGTGTCAGTCATGCGTCAGTCATGGTACACAGAAGGTGTACTGAATGTGTCCATAACACTTGTATTAAACACAAGAAGGAGAAGCAGGTCTTTAAGCAGCAGGACTCTCATTAATCAAGCAATACATACATTGATAAGTTAAAACGGATTGTGTTAATGTTGCTCATTTACTGACGGCACTAGTTAGTGATCATCTTTGGCACACATGTGGCACTGTAATATTTAGTACATTTTAAATGTCACACAAGTGGACTGTTTTTCCACTGAGCAGCCTGTTCAACTCTACTGAACAATCCAGTGGGAAACACAGTGAGGACATTTCAGGACAGCAGGAATAATGGGAGAACTTTAAGTTTTAATGATATATATCTTTAGGTAAAGTCACCTTGAGGTATCCTGTTCTGCGGTCCAGATTCAAATGCAGATTCTTGATTTCTCCGAACTCTGAAAACTTGTCGTGGATGTCCTCCTCTGTGGCTTCTTCGTGTACACCTGTGACAAACAGGATCCAGCCCTCCACCGCTGCAAACACACACAGGGTTCTAAACACAGCTGGGACAGTTTCCATATCAAACAACATTGTTGATGCATTTATTATCAAAGACTAAATGCCAATCAAGTAAGTAGTAGAGCCAGACAGATTTATTATTCATTTGTGGAATTAATGGTGATGAATGCTGTGGTAATAATGAAAACTGCAATAATTTTAGTTACTACAACTGTCAGCTACATGTTTCACATCGCCAAAACCCCAATTGTAACTTTACTAAATAGAAGTTAGCATTCAATTTCAAAATATCGATAAGAGTTCCAGATCGTATGGAACCCGAGGACGAGGACATTCCCTGCCTCCAACGTTATCGAGGAACATTCATAAGACTCACATCTTTGAGGACCAGGCTCGTCTCCGTCCTGCTCCACTGTGTCATAGTCTTCTTTGACCCGGGACCGAGCTCCCTCCTCTGTGCACAAAAACACTTTAATACATGTGCACACACACGCACACACACACACACACACACACACACACGGACGACAAGAACACAGCCCACCTGAGCCAAAGCCACGGCCTTTCCTCTTCTTGGCCTTCTCCTTCAGCTTGTGGATGCTTTCTGTCGGAACAGACACACAGAGACATTAATACAACAACAGCATTTTCCTGACTGAAAGGTGAATACATCTAATAGCTTCGTCCACTAAGACAAAGCTTCATCTTAGTGGACTAGTTAGTTTTTCCTTCTATACCAGAGAATCAGAGGAAGGGTTATTTTGCTGTTGAAACATAGAGGCAAGTCCATCACCATGCAATATAGTCTGATATAGAAGAAAACAGTAATGAGCGTATGTATGCAATTCAAACCGACACTTGAACGTGAAGAAACACGGTGGTGGTAGCTTTGAAAGTGGGCGCCCTGAGGAGCTGTGGTGCTGATCAGAGACTAGACCAAGTTTTCTTTGTATTTGACTGAAAGCCACAGGTTTGGGAACAATATTCAGTCCTAAATATAAATTATTTTTCCCTTTTAATGCATTATTGGCACACACATTTAAATCCAATTCAAAAGAACATTCAACAGATACTAGGAACTATGCGTATTTTCATTGAATGTAATAATTACAGCATGAAATCAGTTAATTAAATCCAATGCGGCAATTGTAATATGTTGGTATTAATGATCAGCCCGACTGAGGTTCAATGAGTTTATTCTGACTTTATTCATACACATTCATACAAGACTTGTCTTAGAATACAATCCCCAACATGCATTGCGATGCACTCATTACCTGTGCGGTACTTTTAAGGCCCCGACTTTGGCTTCAGCATGAAATGATTAAGACTTAAAAAACCGCGGGGCTAACCTGGGAAATTATACAGACAGATGGATAAGGCCACAACCTCCCCTTTAATACAGTTTTCAATATGATGTCGATTTCAAAGCCTTGGAACTGGCTTCATCCAGTCAACAAGTCTTCCGAGACCCAAACAAAGCATCTTAAGAAGCTGCGCCACACACGGTTTGATTCTCTGATCTGTGTTGGCGAACAGACAGATTTGTAATGTAACTACTGTTGTTGTTTACAGGTATACACAAATATAATTGAATTGATTTGAATAACTGTTGTAGCGTTGGTCGTGCAAATGAATGGCCCTGTTAGCCTGCTAGCCTGTTAGCATGTCCGTGCCTTCTGCAGCGGGACGAGACTGAGACCGCTCTGAAGCCTCGGTCTGAGCTCCACACCGCGGCCCAGGGCACCAGCAGGGTCCGACACCAGCCTGTCCGGGTCTGTAAGCAGTCACACATACCATCACCATCCTCATCCATGGGAAAGTCCTCTCCTCCGGCCTCATGGAGATCCAGTACGTCCGCCATCTTGTCTGTGTCTGTGGGGAGAGTTCGCACATGCGCAGTGCGGCTGTGTTTCACTGTTGTCAAATACCGCGTGAGAGAGCGAGAAGTGCGCGGTTGGACTAGTGCTGCCACCTGCTGTTTGTTTACGCACATTACAAAAGTACACAGATAAAAAGGGGACAGTTATAACGAAATAGATTCATTTTTTTTAGCCATAATAGATCCATGTTAATTTGATATTTTAATCGTTTGACAGCACTAATAATATTACATCTCCAGATTCTCAGCCTTTGGGGTTCATGATGTTGTATAATGTTGGAATAATTTGTGTTTCAAGAGTTTTTTTTCTGTGTATGTATGGAAGAGGTGATTGGAATGTGATGTGTTGCTTTCAGAAGATCATCTGTAGATTTGAGGAGCATTGAAACCAGACCATGTTGTGGCTTGCATGACTTTCTTGTAAAGGATTTGTAATTTATCTATTTAAATGAGATAAATGTTAATTCAATTACAATAATCTAGAAAAGGTTCAAATAGAGATAAATTCAGTGCCTTAAGAGTTTGATTGTTTAAAACAAGCCCATATATTTGGATCATTTTACAGTATTTTGTTTTTAGGTAAAAAATCATCAATATAGTTACTTTTGCATTGTCAATGTCAATGTCAATGTCAATGTCAACTTTATTTATATAGCACATTTACAACAACACCAGCTGCCCAAAGTGCTTCACAGGCACAAATGATAAAAATAAAAATAAAACAGTATAAAATACATACACATACATGTAAAAGTAAAGTGGTAAAACCTCAACTGGTGTTAAAAGCCAAGGTGTAAAAATGTGTCTTTAAACTAGACTTAAAAACTTCCAATGAAGGAGCTGCTCTGATGAACAGAGGTAGACTATTCCACAGTTTGGGGGCAGCAACAGCATTTCCTGTGCATTTCTCTCTGGTCTCTCTGTGTGGTCTCTCTCTCTCTGGTTTCTTTCTTGTCTCACTCTGGTCTATCTTGCTATAGTTTCTCTCTCTCTATGGTCTCTCTCTGGTCACTCTTTCTGATCTCTCCCTCTGGTCTCTCTCTCTCTGGTCTCTTTCTGGTCTCTCTCTCTATGGTCTCTCTCTGGTCACCCTTTCTGGTCTCTGTCTTTGGTCTCTCTCTGGTCTCTCTCTTGTCACTTTCTGGTCTATCTTTCTGGTTTTTCTCTCTATGGTCTCTCTCTGGTCACTCTTTCTGGTCTCTCCCTCTGGTCTCTTTCTCTGGTCTCTCTCTCTTTGGTCTCTCTCTGGTCTCTCTCTTGTCACTTTCTGGTCTATCTTTCTGGTTTTTCTCTCTATGGTCTCTCTCTGGTCACTCTTTCTGGTCTCTCCCTCTGGTCTCTTTCTCTGGTCTCTCTCTCTTTGGTCTCTCTCTGGTCTCTCTCTTGTCACTTTCTGGTCTATCTTTCTGGTTTTTCTCTCTATGGTCTCTCTCTGGTCACTCTCTCTGGTCTCTCCCTCTGGTCTCTTTCTCTGGTCTCTCTCTCTTTGGTCTCTCTCTGGTCTCTCTTTGGTCTCTCTCTGGTCTTTGTGGATTTTTCCCCAGACATGAGACAATGGGAAAACAGGTTGCGTTGTTCTATGAGCTTTTATTGGCAGAAGGTTTGACCCTAAAATAATATCATAAATAACCTTTGATTATTAGACTTAATAAATATATAATAGTTGAACTTAAGATGATTGAAATCAAATGTATAATAAGGGGTTATGTTGAGGAATGATTTACAACGATACACAAATAAATTGGAATTGAATTGTCATCAATGCGTGTGCGACTCACTCTGTGCTGAAGTTCAGTGGGTTCCCAGGGTCAGATGATGGGGGAGTGTTGTTGTGGTCCCAGCCTTAGATCACCACCCAGACCTCTCTGCGCCGAGTCCCAGGATTCCCTCTGCTGCTGAGAGAACAGGGCAGGCACTGGGGCCCCCACTCCAGACCAGGCTTCAAACTGGGGCCCCAGCTGGACACAACCAAACAACATCACGGTCCTTGATTGAAAACGGTTGATGAGAGTTATGTCTGTTTGATGGCACAATGAAATGGGACCCAGGGGTGACACAAGACAGTTTCCAAATCTATTACAAAAGATTCACGCAGAACGCAAAAAGAGCCAGAGACTGGAGCGGAGAAGCAGACTAAAAAAACACAAGGAAAAACAGGTACGTACACTCACAAAAGTCAGATTCTTGTGTAAAAGGCCGAGTGGAAAAATCATCGACGACGGACAAAGTAGCACCGACTGCAGCAGAGCACAGCTTAAGATGGAGAATGATGCCATCGAGAGCGGGAGAGAGAATCCAGAAATCCACCCATGCACAAGTCTGGAGGGAGTGACAGTCTGACTCTCACCTCGGTCCTGTTTGTCTAAAGAGACTCCTGTGTTGTTGTATCATGATGTTCACCTGTGGAAAGAGCAGAGACAGAAACTGCTGAGGTGAGGAACATTTAAATACATGTGTGAGGCCCTGATCTCGTCACATCCTAAAGAAGCCCCAGGTCTGAGATATTGTTGTATTCTGGGACAATAGAGTATTGAATTCTAATAGACATGAGTGTCATTTTTGCCCCTGGGCAGCTACGGCAGCACAAGGTGTGGGGGAAGAAGAAGAAAGCAAACATCATGGTAGCAAACATCTATTTCTGTCACATTTTGCTCCGAGCTGCAGAGATTTGGACAAACGGCTCAAGTGAGACCATGTGTGACGGTCTGTGATCCAAGAGTGAGGCTGCAGCTGGGAGGAGGAGGAGAGGAGGGGAGGAGGAGGAGAGGAGGGGAGGAGGAGGAGAAGAGGGGGGGAGGAGAGGAGGAGGAGGAGAGGAGGAGGAGGAGAGGAGGGGGGAGGAGGAGAGGAGGGGAGGAGGAGAAGAGGGGGGGAGGAGAGGAGGAGGAGGAGAGGAGGGGGGAGGAGGAGGAGGAGAGGAGAAAGGGATGGATGTCTGAATATGACATGTTAGTGAATGAATGACAGCTGTAGTCAGTGGCTCAGTTGTTAAATGATTGGTCTTTGAACTTGACTCTGCCCCCGCTTTGCCTGAAGCACCTTCTGAAACACAAGTCTGCGGCTCTGCCAAGCCCCGGTGATCCAAGATGGCGCCCTATCCAAATGAATGGCTTTTGCTCAGTAACGCATGGGACCTACACCAGGCCTAAGAGATTAGCAGAACTCGCCCATATTCGGGCATCGTCTGGTCCTCCCGGTTCTGAGCAGTGGACGAGCTCCCGTGATGCTTTGTGCCAAATACGCATGTGGCTCTCATGCATGTGCTCAGAGGGGCTTGGCCGTGCTTTGACTAATCAGAGCTGCTGATCAGAGCGAAGCCAGAGTGGGAGGAAAACATGCAGTTTGTAGCAGTAAAGTATGGATTTAAAGAAAACCTAAGGAAATGACAAGGGACACTAAAATCCCCACAAAATCTGACCGTTTTGAAAGCTGTAGGTTCTCTGTCAGCTGAGGTTGAGCTGTTTTAGTTTGCATTGAGTTCTCTACCCTATCCAGATGATATCATAGATCCATGGTCTCTGCTGACGGAGCAGCAATCTTCCCTTGGACTCACCGCCTGCAGGAATAAAATATAAGTCTATACTAAAATAAAAATAAAATCTCTATCTTTGGCATAATAAAGAAGCAAGAATAAATCCTGTGTATTCATGTGCTTACATAAATAGTCTGTCTATGCTAGCAGCATTAGGCTTACATGTCACTGTGGCTAACAGCATTCTGACATTAGTTTAAATCATTGCACAGAAATATAACATGTGAGGTCAGTGTTTGAGTCTTCCGACTCAGTCCTGGGTCTACAGCCTCAGTCCTGGATCAACCGCCTCAGTCCTGGATAAACCGCCTCAGTCCTGGATCTTCAGACTCAGTCCTGGGTCTGTAGCCAGTCCATGGCAACCAACAAACATGGCAACACACCAGAAAACATGGACTACACACCAGCAAATAGACAGACAGATAATAATGACGAGACATGTACAAAAAAGGGTCCTAATAATGATCTAGTGAAATAATCAATTATGACTAATCCATCACAAGGTTGTATCCACGTTTCACTGAGGGAGAGTCGGAGGCCTTCTGTCGGGCTGGAAATCTGGATCTTTGTTTGTTCCAAGTGCAGGAGAATTCTTCCACATGTGCTGTAGTTTTCCACCACCTTTAATACAATCTGTTAAACACCACAAACTAATAACATTCCACGAGATAAATAACAAAACACAGCTACCAGAACATTCTGTTAGTTTACAGTAACTCACAAATCTGATGTAACTTACTACTTTAGAAACGTTTACAGCAGAGAGTCAAGAAATCCCACAATTCATTGCAAATGACGCAGTATACCACAAGTACACCCTCTGGAAGTGTTACTGATTCAGATTAATCTCTTTTCCTCTTCCATGGGTTGCGGGGGCAGCAGTCTTCTCTCTCCGCACACTCTTCCTGCAGCTCATCTGGGGGAATCCTGATGCGATCCCAGATGAGAGACCCAGTCCCTCTGAGTCCTGGGTCTGTCCCTGGTCTCCTCCCAATGGGACATGCCCAGAACACCTCCACAGGGAGGAGACCAGGAGGCATCCCCAACAGATGAGCCACCTCCCCTGGAAGAACAGCGGCTCTACTGTGAGCTCCATTTCGGCCATTACTCAAAGCTGGAGGAGAGCTCTGACTGCAGACACTGCTCCCTCATGACCAGGCCAATGCTCTACCAACTGATGTCGCCACTTTTACTTTTAATTAAAGATTAGTATATAAAAAAAGTAAGTAAGTAAAGTTTATTTGTATAGCGCCTTTCACAGACCAGGGTCACAAAGCGCTTCACAGATTAAAACACATAAAATACACATAAAGTCAGATTTAAAAACAAAGACACAGAAAAACACAGTATACACAGTTCACAGAGGGCTATGAACAGTGAGGCGAGAAAGCCTGTCTAAACAAATGCGTCTTAAGTTGGGACTGAAAATCATCGGCAGTCTTTTAGATGCGCAGAGACTGAGGAAGCTCATTCCAAAGGCGAGGAGAAACTGCCTGGAAGGATCTGTCTCCTCTGGTTTTAAAGCGAGTGCGGGGTTCTGAGTGGAGGACCTCAGGCTCCTGTTGGAGACATAGGGGTGGATCAGGCCCTGGATGTATTCAGGCGCCTGACCATGAAGAGCCCTGAATGTCAGCACCAGAATTTTAAAATTCATTCTGTGTGAGACAGGGAGCTAGTGTAAGGACTTCAGGATAGGAGTAATGTGGGCTCTCCGAGGTGTGGGAAAGAACAGAGATCAATTCAGAAAAATGAAAAAGTAGCAGACTGGGAGATAAAGGGTTTGTGTTAAAAAATGCATCGGTTTTATATAGCGCTTTTTTGGACATGTCATTATTCTTTCACTCCAAACACGGTGGTGATAAACTACTTCTGTAGCCACAGCTGCCCTGGGGCACACTGACAGAAGCGAGGCAACCAGTATGTGCCATCGGCCCCTCCGCGCACCACCAACCATTCACACACACACACCAGACTCATTCTGGGGGGGAAGTGTCTTGCCTAAGGACACAACAGCAGTTTGGCACTTTACAGCCGCAGCCGCCCCACTGTGGCATCAGATGTTCCCAGAGGTTAAGTGTCTTGCCAAGGACACAGCGACAGCAGACAGTGGGAGTCGATGGTGAGAGTCAGGCTCGAACCCACGACCTTCTGGCTCAAAGGCTCATGCTCTACCAACTGAGCTACTGTCACCATTTTAACTTTTAATCAAATATTTTTATAAAAAATAAGACATAAAATGAAACTTTAATGGTGTGTTTTAACTTTTTTGAGTCTTGTGAATAATCTTCTGATGTTATAATTTTCATCATAATGAAACTATGCCTCTGGTTCCCCTGGTTCTTTGGAAAGGTGAGATTTCTTATTACACGTATTGACAATACAGCCCTCTGATTGGACCATATAATATGTGAGCCACATGTTAGATTAAATAGTTTTGATTTAATGTATTCTGACTTTAAAAAGAGCACACAGAGTGTTTGTTGAGGGGAATAGAAGGGGCTACACTCCTGTGTGTCCGAGTGAGCAGCGTCATCACGTGGTGAAGAGAGAAAGCTGTTTATGTGTTTGAGTGAATAGTACATGATGCTGATTGGTCAGTTTAAAGGTAGAAGGCGGAGCCTGAGTTTCTCACTGAGCTTCTGTTCGCGCTCTCTCATCCTCCTCACATGAGGACCAGCATCAGCAGCATCAGGACCAGCAGCAGCATCCTCATCCTCACTCTCACGGATGGAGCAGTGATCGAGGGGACTCTCACCTCCTCCGGGACTCTGTGGCGGGACTCTCGGGACTGGGTTCTTTGGACGTCAAACTTGACGTTGTTTTTCTCTAAACTTTGTCCTGTGTCCGCCTGCAGGACATGCTGCTTCCGCACTGACCCCGGTGAAACGGGACTGACCCCAGTGTAACGGGACCATGGCGTCACTTGTGCTCGTGCTGATGTTTGTGCCGCTGCTGCCACTGCTGCCAGACTCACACGCCGCGCGCCTCTCGGGACACATCCCGGAAAACGCGCCGAGCGGAACAGCGGTGCGCGGACTGTTGCTTCCCAGGTGCGCACGTGCAGGAGGACCGGACACCGGCCCGGTGACTCTGCGCGGGGAGCACTCCACAGACTTTGAGCTGGTCCCGCGTGCGCAAGGTGCACGGTTAGGACTGGTGTCCACGCGCGCACTGGACAGAGAGTTCATAGCAATGTATGATCTGCACGCGAACCTGCCCGCGCGCTGTCTGCCAAGGCGCGTGCACGTGCAGGTGGAGGTGTCCGACGTCAACGACAACACTCCGTACTTCACTACCGGAAACCGCAGCGTGGACCTTGATGCACTCGCACCACGAGGAACGGAGCTGACGCGCTTTGACGCGCGGGACGCGGACGCAGAGAGAAACGGGCGCGTGCTGTTCTTCCTTTGTCCCGGTGTCCCGCAGCTGCACGTGGTCCCGGGCAGTGGACAGGTGCTGCTCGTGGACTCTGTGCACGGACTGCAGCGCGTCACCGCGCGCCTCTGTGTGCGGGATGACGCGGACGTGCCGCGCACTGGAGAACCTGTGTTTCTGCACGTGCATGTGCGCTCTGTGGCGGAACACGCGCGCAGGAGGCGCGCTCTCCTGGAGGAGCTCACCTATTCCGTGCGTGTGCCCGAGAAAGTGCGCGTGGGACAACTGCTCTTCACTTTACCGGAGCCGCGCTTCCAGCAGCGGCGCGTGGAGCTGCTGTCCGCCTCTACAGTCACCGTGGAGCGCGACACCGGAAGAATGTACCTGGCTCGTGCACTGTCCCGGGACGAAGAGGTCACCGTCCGCGTGCACAATCTCAGAGGTCAGACACACGCAAGCTCTCGATGGCTTTGAACCTGGACCTGCATCAGCTCTGTACCAACTCTGGACCAACTCTGGACCAACTCTGGACCAACTCTGGACCAACTTTGGTCCACTCTGGTCCACTCTGGTCAAGCCCTGGTCCAGTCCGGGTCCAGCTCTGGTCCAGTCCTGCTCAGTCCTGGTCTTTGTGCTGTTATCTTGAGGAGCCTGTTTGAGCTCTGGTCCTGTGTTTCTGTGTTTGATTTGCGCCTGTATCACTGTGTCACTGTCTCAGAGGAGTTTGGAGAAGGTCAGTGTTTGCCCCATGAGGCTGAGCTCTGATGGTTTTTAAACTATTGATACATCAGACAATCACAAACGTTTTCATAATTATTTTTTTATGAAAGACTGGAGGACTTTGATCTGTGAAAGAAACATGACATTTCTCATGACCTCGGTGCTGACCCTCTGAGTTGTTCATCAATCTTTACATAAGTGTCACATGTTCTCAAGTTTGTTTGCCTAAAACCCTGATCACACATTTCCCCTCAACAATGGTCTGGTCCCAATGGTTCTCTGGTTCCCCTGGTTCTCTCTGGTTCCCCTGTTTGTCTCTGGTTCTCTTTGGTTCCCTTTTTTCTTTCTGGTTCTCCTGGTTCCTCTCTGGTTCTCCCTGGTCCCTCTGGTTCCTCCATGGTCCCTGTCTGGTTCCCCTGGTGGCCCCGTGGTCCACAGTGAGAGCCTCTCTTTGCTCTGACCTTGTCCTATTAGGCCTGGGTTCATGTCTGGCCTTGGGCTCCATCTGATTGGTCTATAATCAATAGTTGTTGCTATGGAAACGAGGACCATTAACGACCGCTCTATCACTGTATTCACTGGGGCAGAAACAACAGTCACCAGAGACTAGGTTTTTGGAGTTTTTAAAAGAAAAGAAACAAAGTTTGCAAATAATCTAAAAGGCTTCCTCTCAGGACGACTCGTGTCAATGGTCGTCTGCGCACGTTTTGAATTTTTTGATCTTTTTAGAGTTTAAACTTCATCGTGGTAAGATTTTTTAGTATTTGCAGTATTGTAGTACTTTAAAGTACTTTTAACGCTTCCATTGATTTCAATAGAAACTTTTTTGAATCTTTTCTGATCTTCATAACCGTCTGACTCTTACTTTTGGTACTTAATAATGATAATAATAATAATAATAATGATGCATTGGTGTTATACAGCGCTTTTTTGTACACTCAAAGACATGTCATTATTCTATCACTCCATACACAGTGGTGATAAACTACTACTGTAGCCACAGCTGCCCTGGGGCACACTGACAGAAGCAAGGCAACCAGTCTGTGCCATCGGCCCCTCCGACCACCGCCAACCTTTCACACACACACCAGACTCATTCTAGGCAATGTGGGTGAAGTGTCTTGCCTAAGGACACAACGGCAGTTTGGCACTTTACAGCCGCAGCCGCCCCACTGTGGCTGGTGTTACCAGAGGTTAAGTATCTTACCAAGGACACAACGGCAGCAGATAGTGGGAGTTGGTGGAGAGAAAGTTTTGTGGTGGGCTCGAACCACGACCTTCTGGCTCAAAGGCAAATGCACTACAAACTGAGATACTGTCGCCCTCGCCCTACTGTTGCAGTATTTACAGTCCTTTTAATAACTTTTATAATGGTACTTTTTATCTTTTTTATTTTATGTTTTTAATCTTTTCCCACCACCTGCTCTACATGTCTGCCTTGATGTGTAATAGTATGATGTCACTACGACGTCACGCTCAGAGTGGTTAGCTGACTGTTAAAACAAAAGTATTTCCCATGAATGAGTTCAGGTCATTTCTGAAGTGAATTATGTCCGTTACTATCGCTGTAGTTGCACATTTTTGTGTTTGGAAAAAAAAACTACACAAATTCTACCGAACATTTTAATGGCTCAAAATAATGCATGATATTACTTATTTAAAGGGGGATTATGAAACATTGTTTGTGAATAAAAACAGACGTTGTAGTAGGGCTGGGCAATAAATCAAATTTTGGCAATTAATCGGCTTTTGAAAAAATCTAATTCGTGAAACATGTGAAAATCGTGAAATCGAATGAGGGATATTGTGAGAGTTCCAGCAGCACATCAATTATACTTATAAGATATCAGCACAGTCTGTACAAGACTTTTATGATATGTATTGGGGGAAACAAATAAAAAATAGTTTTGAAACTTAAATATTGAGCGGGAAGATAACAAATATTTTAAGGGCAAAGTCTGTCTTTAGTGACTTTCATGAAAATCAATTTAAAATCGACATCGTCTAAAGCAGGAAATAAAATCGAGATTTAACTTTTTTGCCGTATCGCCCAGACCTACGTTGTAGTGATGGGATCAGTAGTGGAATTAATTGACCTATTTGTCACTATTTGGTCAAATTTGCAAATAGTAAGTAAGTAAGTAAGCTTTATTTATATACCGCCTTTCACAGACCAGAGTCACAAAGCGGTTTACAATTGTTATTTTTTGGGCACTTGTCCTCTCACTCCACACAGAGATGGGAGCGGGGTCGCCGAACAGGAGGCGCATGCCAGACCTATTGTACATATTTTTAGTGGTAGGGGAAACCGGAGTACCCGGAGGAAACCTACGCAGACACGGGGAGAACATCCAAACTCCACTCAGAAAGGCCGGGATTCGAACCCAAGACCTTGCTGAGAGGCGAGAGTGCTATCCACTCAGCCACCGTGCCGCCCCAAAGAATTCTGAACATCTGTGCTGAGTTACCCATTTATATACTGAACCTATATCCATAATCATGTATATACTGAACCTATATCCATAATCATTTATATACTGAACCTATATCCATAATCATGTATATACTGAACCTATATCCATAATCATTTATATACTGAACCTATATCCATAATCATGTATATACTGAACCTATATCCATAATCATGTATATACTGAACCTATATCCATAATCATTTATATACTGAACCTATATCCATAATCATGTATATACTGAACCTATATCCATAATCAGATCCTCTGCAGATGTGTCCTATAATGTGCAATTAATGATAATAGCTACCTCCTGGTTTGCCGCGATCCCTTTTTTGTGCATAAAAACATTATTTTTTTCATGAAAACGTTAACAAATAATTCTGAAAACCTCCGTGCATGTGTATTAATAATGTATATGTATAATGTGTTCTCTGATTCACATTTAAAAGTGTTACAGAAACGTAGGCGTAGACCAATCAGAAAGGAAGAGGGAGGAGCTTGCGTCGTTTTTTTCAAATCAAATACCTCTCTCTCTCTCTTTCTGACAAACTGCAGACAATCACTTTAACCGCTTAACACCCGCCTCATTTTGGCTTGTGCACAAAAGTTGGGCATACCCAAATGTCTTTGCTTATTTAAAAACACATCTTACATCTCACATGCTTGTGTGATACATCATTTTAAAGCTAGAGCCTTCTAGTTTATGTAAATATATACTAAAATAATGTTTGTCATTCCTATTTCACTCTGCATCCTTTGAAGTTTGGGGAAAAAAACAATTTTTTTAGCCTCGCCTAAAATTTTCATTTTCTAAAGGCCCTAAAAAAGGCATACTTCATTGTAAGTTCACAATATTCAAACCCTGTGGTCATTGTGTTGTTGACAACAACTGTCTAAAGTTTCAGACTTCTAAGTTTTATAGTTTTCATGCAGTTTCTCCTTTTCATCAAGTTGTGCCATTTGCTTTACTGGCACAACTTGCTTTACTGACATTTAATCATCATAAAAATCATTTATTAATGATCCTTATAAGTTACTAATCTATGTGTTTTTTTAAAACATTTTTTCAAAGTACATTTTTTATGAGTGTAAAATCGTTGCTGTGAGTGTAAAATCATTCCGTCAGCGCCGGTCTCCAGGCCATTACGCAGCGGTCGGCACTAGATCATATACGGAATCAGGACGAAACCGGAAGTAACAATCCTACTTTCGAATTAGTTTAAGACTAAAAAGTCTTTAAATGGTGACTGGTTAAGTTTTAGGTGTCTGAGTAAGATGGTTAAGTTTAGGGTTAAGGGTGGGTTGGGGTTATTTTATGGGAGTGGCTGGTTAAGTTTAGGCATAAATAGGTAGTTTGTTATATTTACTTCTGCTTCCGTCCCGATTCCGAATATGATCTAGTGCTGACCGTCTAGTGACAACAAATATAAAGTGACGCAGCCGCTTTTCCAACTCACGGGAGATTTTGCGGACCCAAAATAGCTCGTAGAGATTCATGGAAGGTGTCATTTGAAAGATAAGGAGTAGCTGAACACGGAGCTCTGTGCTCTTTTTTTTGCTACAGATAAATGCACATTTTTGGATTATTTCTCCAGAATGGATTATACTTTGGGAAATACAAGTGGATATTATTTTTAAATGGACTGTTCCAGAGAGAAAGAGCCATAGGAAGCCGGGAGGAGATCTGATTTATTTATGCAGCACAAGCCCAAAGGTAAAACACTTTTTCCGAAGTGACTTATTTTGTGCCCATATTATGTGTTATATCTTTTGAATGCAAAGTTTGAAGTAGTTCACACTTGTATATAAATGTAGATAAGAAAATAATCTTTAAAATGATATACAGCTTTTGGGGTTTGGTGTTCAAAATGCATCTGCTATTGCCCGGCGGGCGGGTGGATGTAAAGAGGTTAAAGCTAGACTCAGCAGTTTTTACAGTTGCACCAATTGAAAAAAACATGTCAACCAAGAACAAATGTGACCTTTTTCAGAATATTCACCTTCAACATGTTTTTCAATTGTTGTCATAGACTTAGAATGTGACTTATTAATGTCCAAGAGGCTGAGGACTCTCCGTGTCAATGCACCAACTACAAATACGGTGGTTGGTAAGGGACAAAAAGGAGAATCGCGTTTTCGTTTCACGTGAGCTACTGATATTGTTGCTTCCACCGTGATAAGTACGCTCTCATCCCACGGAGCCATCTAGTTTTATTTGCGATCTTTATTCAAACATTAGCATTAGTGCAACTTCTTGTAAGCTGTACAACAATCACTGATGAAATGGTACAAAAGCAACACACTGCTAACAAAATATATAACTGAAAGATTACCGCTAGTTCCGAGTCCGAATGTAGTCCGAGCATAGATAGTCCGAGCATATAGTCCGAGCGTAGATAGTCCGAGCGTAGATAGTCCGAGCATAGATAGTCCGAGCATATAGTCTGGGCGTAGATAGTCCGAGCATAGATAGTCCGAGCGTAGATAGTCCGAGCGTAGATAGTCCGAGCATAGATAGTCCGAGTGTAGATAGGCCGAGCGTAGATAGTCCGAGTGTAGATAGGCCGAGCG